GATTAAATAAGTTATAAGATAGATTATATAACTAAATAAGTAAATTAGCTATAATATTAATGTATTATTAATATAAATAGGGGAATTTAATATTATATAAAAGATTTCTTAAAAAAACTATTAAAAATATTATAGCTTTTCTTTTAATAAAAGTATTAAGATTAAGGCTAGAGATATTATAAAGCTTATTTTCCTTATTATTATATAAAAAAGAAATAAGTAAATTAATAATTTAAAAAGAGCTTATAAAAAAGCTTTAAAGAGATATAAAAAAGATATTTTTTTTTTTTAAGTTTTTAAGTTAGCCTTAAAAGGTATATCCAAGCATCTCTAAAGTCTAATATAGTTTATAAGAAAGATATATTATATATTTTATTTACTTTAAATAATATATTATAAAAAAGATAAAATAAATAAAAATAATATTATTAAAAATAAATACTTACTTATATTAAGGAGATTAAGAATAATTAAATAGCCTTTAATAAATAGACCTTATCCTTAATTAAAGACTTAGAGAATTATAAACTATATTAAGTTAAACTCTTAAAATATATTAGGTAATACCTAAGATAATCCTTATAAGAGTTTTATAATTATTTAAACTCTATAAAGAAATATCTCTTATAAGATATTATCTTAATATAAAAGGCTAATTAATATTAAGCTAAATTAACTTAAAAATTAAAAAATATTATAGCCTTAAATAAAATTAAAATTCCCTTAATAAAAGAAAGATATATTATAATAGCTATTTATATATAAAATATACTTAATAAATAAAGGAAATAACTTAATACTTTAATTAAAAATAATAATTAGAAATATATTTAGTCTTAATATTAGGCTCTATAGCTTATAATATAGACCTAAAGTAGCTATTACTTAGGCTTAAAACCCTATAATAAGGGCTAAAAAATAAAATAGGATTTTAATTAAAAAGATAATATTTATAAAAGGTATAAGAAACTTAAGTATTAGGCTAAAAACTGCTTAAAGATAGGTAAAATTAACAATATTAAAAGGTTAAAAAACTAAATTAAGCTAAGATTTTAAGTTTATATTAGCTTATAAAATAATTACTTAAAATAACTTATAAAATGGTTATGAATTTAACTAATATTAATATTTAAAAATCTAAGTATTTAATATAATAGCTAAAGACCTAATTAATATATACTTTATTAATTAAGGTTATTATTTATAACTATAACTTTATTTAAAAATAAGTATTACTTAATATTATTATAAAGATAGATATTATTAATAAAGATATTACTTAGATATATAAATTAAGATAGCTAGGTAATATAAATATATTTTTAAAAAATAAAAGGTAAAATTAATATTAATTAATTCTTAAGAATAAAAGTAAAAGGTAATTTAAAGCTTTATAAGTATTTTTAAAGAAAATAATAAAGATTTTATTATTTTATTAATAATAATAATAAGAGATTTTTAAATTATATTTAATTATAAGCTAGAATATTAGGTTTTTAAGGGTTATTATAAAGGGCTAAAGCTTTTAATTATATAGTAATTTATAAAAAGAATTAAATTATTAAGTTAGATTTTTAATATTATTTTTATTAAGAAACCTTATTTACTTTTAAATAAAAAAGCCTAGAAACTAAATTAAATTAATAAAATAACTAAAAACCTTTATATTTATAGTAATATATTTAGCTTTATTAAGGCTATTATAATCCTTAATCTTAAACTTATTAATTATATTATTAAATGATAAAAAGGAAAAGAGCCCTCTTATAGCTTTATTTACCTTTTATTATAATTAAAGCTTAAAGAGCTTTAAGATTATATTTTAGAGAATTTAAAATTAAGTAAAATTAGATTATTTAGAAGCTTAATAAAGGCCTTAATCCTTTTTATATTAAAGAAAGATAGAGGATTATAACTTTATATAAATTATAAAAAACTAAATAATATTATAATTAAGAATTATTACCTTTTACCTTTAATTATTAAGATTATAAACTAAATTTAAGGTATTAAGTTCTTTTTAAAGATTAATATTAAGGATATTTATTATTATATTAAAATTAAGGAAAGTAATAAATAAAAGATAATATTTTATATTTAATATAATTACTTTCAGTATATAGTTATATTATTTAAATTAATAAATACTTTTATTACCTTTTAATATTATATTTATTAAATACTTAGAGAATTAATTAATATTATTTATATAATATATTTAAATAATATCTTAGTCTTTTTAAAAACTAAAAAAATATATATAAAATACTTAAAATAAGTATTAAAATATATAAAAAAGGCTAAACTTTATATAAAGGGATTTAAGTATATATTTTACTAAAATAAAATCAAGTTTCTAATATTTATTTTAATTATTAAAGGTATAAAAATAAATTTAAAAATAAAAGGAATTAATTACTTATTAAGAAATATAAGTTTTTTTAAGGTTTTATAACTTTTATAAAAAGTTTATTTATAAATATTTTAAAGTTATTATATTATTAATAATAATACTAAAAGAAAGCTAAAATAATAAAAAGCCTAGCTTAATAAAGCTAAATAATATATAAAATTAAGTATTTAAAACCTTAATTATTAAATTTAATAAGGTATTTATATTAAAATACTTTAACTTATTAAGATAAATTTAAGTTAAAATTAATATATTAAAATATATTATAATAAGTATATTATCTTAATTAAATAATAAAAGGAGATTTTACCTAATAGTATTTTAATTATAAAAGTTTAATAAGGCTAAATTAAATTATAATATATTAAATTAAAAAATAATAATTATAATAAAATTATTTAAATATTAATAATATTACCTTAAAGAGGTAATAAAGTAAATTAAACTCTTAAGTAATTATTATAACTTATAATTATTTATAAAAAATATAAAATTAAATAATAAGTAAGTTAAATAATATTTTTACTTAATACCTTATAATTTTATAATTAAATATTATAAAAGATTAATAAACTTAATTAATCCCCTATTTATATTAATAGTATATTAATATTATAATTAATTTACTTATTTAGTTATATAGCCTATCTTATAACTTATTTAATCCTCTTTTTACTACTAATGCCAAATTTATAACTTTAAGTCTTTAACTTTAGGTAACTAAACTTATATAAAACTTAATATATTTCTTTTATAAAACCCTGCAATTACCCCGCTTTTATTTATATTATAATATAATATCCCCCTATCTTCGCGCTCTTATAATCTAAGACTATAACTAGCCTAGTCTTTATAAGTTCTTAGTCTTCTCTAGTACCTCCTTAGCCTGCTACTAGATATCCTTAAGTTACTTATTATATAAGCTGCCTAGGTTAAGGGCCTTAAGGAACTCCCTCTCTCTCTTATTTAGCTATATCCCTTTATATAGCTTCCTTTTTAAATCCTTAAGCTTTTACTTTTTATATTTAAGAAAGTCTTTATTAATTAAAGGGTTCTTATAAATAGATTATATAAGTAAGAGGATTTTATAACTTGTTACAACCCCAGCAGTTCTATTACGTATACCCTATATTTTCCACCAATCACTCTAGCCTCTGCTAAAGACGATTAGCGCCAAGACTCTACGATTAGAGCTAATCTACCATAATCAGTACTGATCTACCCGGATTACTACTGATCCCTCGATAACCTTACTAATTACCTAAAAGATACCTCTAGTATATAAACCACATTTATTAGCACTTTTATAGAACTTAGCTTACTAGCTATTAATAAGACTTCTTTACCTTAATAAGCCTAACCTATACTATTAACTATTAAAAGATATAATACTTTGCTATTACTTAATATAAACGCCTTATAACTCTATAAATATAAAACCTAATATGGACTAGTTTACCTATTTGGAAACCCTAACTATTATATAACTAAAGATTATTATCTTAATATAGTTAATATTATCCTTATTAAACTAGGCCTCTTTAATATCTATAGCTATTATATATAATATATTACTTTTACCTTTATTTTACCTAAAAGCTTTTTTAATTTTAGGAATTATATTATAGCCTTTAATTAGATAAGGCTTATTAGGCCTAGGTGCTTATAGGCTTCTTTAGATAGCAGGTATTATAATAAGGTAGTTATAATGCTATTAGTAGTTATAGCCAGAAGAGGGAAAGTTAGGTTAGATAACTTATTATATAATAGATAATTAAAGCATGGTATCCTTTAAAGTAGGTTAAAGGAAGAAGGTTAAGGCTAGCTAATAAGCAGGGCTTTTTAGCTAGTATATATATAGCTAGGTTTAGGTTATAATTAAGGCAGCTAATTATAATAATTTAACTTAATAAAGCTTTATTAGCTATAAAGGTAATAAATATTTAAACTATATTAAACTTTAAAAATACTTAAATATATCTTTTAAGGCTAACTTATAAATTTAAAAAAAAATAAAAAAAAATAAAAATTAAATTTTTATATTTAGCCTTTTAATAATTATATTTTTTTTAAAAATATATTTTAAAAATATATTTTAAACTTTAATTATTATTTAATAAAATTAATAACTTAATACTTATTAATTAATAATATATTATAATTAATAAGTAATTAATTTACTATTTCTTTAATATTATAATATTAAAAAGAAAATCCTTATAAATTTAAGTTAAAAATATATTAAATTATAACTTATTTTTTTAAATTATTTAATTTTTATAAGTTTAAAATATAATTATTATAAGCTTATTTACCTTATAATTAGTAATAAAAGGATTAAAAGTATATATTATAAATCTTTATAGCTTATTATAAACTTAATTTTAAATTTATATAATAGGCCTAAAGTATAAGAATAATATAAGCCTTAGCAGTAGATTATAATATATTATTTAATTAAAAATTAATTAATTAGATAGTTAAGATATAAGGTAAGGGATTTTTATCCTACTTGCTTGTCTGTCCTGCTTGCTTATCGTGTACGTTATAACCTTTATATTACTATAAAAGTTCTTAAATAATAATATTAAAAAAATATTAAATACCCAAGGTAAAGCAGTATTAAATATAAATCTATGTCCAACTTGTACTCCAGCAGGATCTTCACACTCTCTTCATTGTTAGTGGCCACGGCTAGGATCAGAGGCGTTCCACCTTTTGGAGTCTTCGCCTCAATATCAGCACCCCGTTCCAACAAAAGCCGGAGTAATTCATTGTAGCCGCAAGATGCTGCACAATGAAGCGGCGTATAGCCCGCGTCCGTAAAGCCCCCGTCTGGACACCTGGTTTCAAGATCTGGCTTGTGTTCAAGAAGCAACTCAACCACCTTTGGCTGGTTGAAATACGCGGCCAGGTAGAATGGCGTGCCGTCGGGACTGGGTGCGTTTATATCGGCTCCAGCATCGACAAGAACCTTCATACAGTCCAGCAGATCGTACGAAAAGTGGGTTGCGTTCCACTTGTTGTTGGCGCCGCTAACAGCATTCATATCCGCCCCAGCATCAATGAACGTCCTGGCTATTGTCGGTTGATTTCCCAGGACGGCGGACATCAAAGGCGTGATGTCTTTAGGAGCAGCGTAGTTGACGCTGGCTCCTTTCTCCAGGAGGGCTGTAACTATGTCTTTATAGCCTGCTCTGGCAGCCGCCACGAGCGGCGTGCCATGATATGGGGAATCGTCTAGCCGCACATCGACTTTGTGACCCTCTTTAAGCAGCATGTTCACAATCTCAATATTATTCGCTCTTGCAGCGTGGATAAGAGCAGAATCGTCATCAAACTCTTTACACGTGCCGTGGTCAAGCAGCATACGGCAAATCTCAACGTGGCCTGATCGTGCCGCTATGCCCAATGCATGGAATGAGCGAGCCTCTCTCAACTTTGAATTAATATCCAAGCCAGCATCAAGCACTGACTTGAGACACTGTGGATAGGGAGCTCCTGAGATGGGAATCAGGGCAGGTCGAAGTTCCCTTACATTAGCAGTGAGGACTTCTGTGTTCGCTCCAGCTTTGACGAGGGCTTGAAACACTGCATGATGTCCTCTGCCTCCCGCATACCATAGAGCGGTCCTGCCCTTCTTGTCCTGGGCGTCAACGAGTGTTGTTTTGGCTAGCCTGTCTATGATCTTCGCTCGGCCATACTTAGCAGCCACAACAATCGATGGCGTGTCTACCCAGTTGGAGTTGATAACAGCGGGGTCAGCTCCGTGCTCTATGAGGGTGTCGAAAGCTGCAGTGTCGTCTCTGATGATAGCACAGTGAAGAGGGGGAGAACAATCTGGATCTGTCGAGTTCGCGTCCGCTCCAGCTTGTAAAATAGTCTTTAAGTGCTCAGATGAACCGAGATAGGCAAGCCGAGATGTCAGTATACTAGGCCACTTAGTTATATGCAACTTCTTCGTTACATATGCTAGTAAGATGTCCAATGTTTGACATTCGGCCGACCGTGCCGCTGCAGTGATGGCATCGAGACAAACATTTTCGTTTGCGCTCAATTCCTGCAATAGAAAATCGACAGCATCGTTTTGTCCGCACCTCGATGCTTCAACAAGTGCCTGGTAGATATCGCGTTCGTCTGGTTCTTGAGACTCCATGCAGGCTTCCAATAGGTCTTTGTCGCCTATAGAGGCCAGAATTGGCAAATTTGACAGGTAGAGTCGGTCCGACCTGATGTGAGGATTTGAAAGATACCATCTGGCTGCGGCCCAACGCTGGAGTGCCGTCTCATCGTTGAAGAGGCTTTCGACACTAGCAGATTTTAGCTTTGGAGGTACTGATGAATACCCTCGTCGATAGTGGAATGGCCAGAATTCTAGAGCATAGGATGTAATGTCTGAAGCGTTTTCGAATATTTGTTGATCAACAGGACATGTTCGGCAAGCAGCTAGGATCTTGTCTTGGGTAGAGGACAAGGTAAGATAGTTAGCACAAGCCTCAGTGATCTCTCGGTGGCCTTCTTCCAAAGAATTCCAAGCGTACCAAGGACGCTCTTTTTCAGAGGCGGCATTGCTAATCGCCAAAAGGTCTCGAGCAGCTGGATGGCTAAAATGGACTTGACCATTCTCTAGGAATATTAAAGGGCCCAAGCAACTTTTAATATCCCACATGAGGTCCTCATATGTCTCCTTCTCAGGCACGGAATCCATCGAGGCTTCGAGACTCAGTGCACTTCCCAGTTCATCAGTGGTCAATGGTCGAAAAGACAGCAACATCCACATCAAGACCTTTCGAGCCCACGGCCGTGACCTCTCAGGCACAGCATCCAAACACTTTTCGAATATCTTGGCCGGCGAGAGAGGGGAGAGTGATTTGAGCTCCCGCTCTAGGGCTGATTTGGTCGATGGACAAGGTGCCACCACGAGCCATTCGAAAAGAAGGCGGCGTAGCAAGTCATAATCACCGCAGGAATTTAACAATTGTCGTATATCTTGCTCAACATGGCGATATTGAGGCCGCACATAGCCCAACTCCGTCATGAATTCGAGCGCAGAGCTCTCGATAATATCAGCTGTCGGCGGGTGCTCTCTCAAGTCAATCGAAGGAAACTCCGATAGAGCCTCGCGAATCTGATTGTCATCAACGGTTGTTACAAGGATTTTGAAATGCTGCTCAGAATTCTTGACCATGTCCGACACCATCGAAAAGAACCAACTGCTGGTGTCATCACATTGATCGAGCCCATCAATGATCCAGTGAATATGGCCGGTGGTTGATACATCTCTCATGAGCTTTTCCAGAAAGAAGAGAGCATCTTTATCAGTCCAGCAATCAGAGAAATCGGGTGGTTCTATATCCGGCATCACATCATTTGGCGATTCTCTTATCTGACTGAGAATCTGGAGCAAAAAGGAGTTGGCCATGGCCCCGATAGAATTCCGGCGGATGTCATACTTGTCGAACTTGAAGTAGAGAATGGCTCGGAAAACTGTGCTCTTTCCAGCTTCCACCACGCTTTGATATACATGCTGAGCCGCCTCAGAGATGCCAAGGGTGCCGTGGATATGCAAAAGAGCAAGGCCCCAAGACTTGCGCCATTGTAGCACTGTATCGTGCTCATCCAGCCAGTCGAATTTATGGCCGGTGTTGGAGCTGAGGGGGTAGATCGGAGCTGCCTGTGACATAATGGCTTCCGTAGCATCCGATAGTCTATCGTCTTGCCAGGGAACTATATGAGATATCAACGGACTTGTTCTGACAGAGGTTTCACTACGTTCTCACTTACATGTTGAAACCCTCTTAGTTTGATAGCCTCCATAGAGAGTGTGCCAGATTTCCCCTCCAGGTTCTTGATTCAACTCCTTATGAGGCTTGTCAATGAGCGAAACCTTCTCCATGGGAACTCCAAGTGTTGTCGTATAATTGTCAAAGATCTGCAAGTCAATCAGTATCATCATGACAGCATAAAATCTACTTCTCAGCTCACCCTTTCTCCGGGGTCTTTCTTTGATGAGATGATGTTGATAACGTTGGCGCGCATTAAGACTCTGGTATTCAAGAAAGAACCGTTTATGTCAATGATTGATCTTGCAAGACATTTCATGTTCAGGCTAGTCGCCGCTGAGTCTGCTGGTTTCAACACGTCGAGCTTGGTGGCAAGAACCTCGATATCTTGGTGTGTACCCCGGTTTCTGTGCGGACAGCCGAAGAACATCTACAAGAGGTTAATTACGGCTCATCGAAGCTTCGATCTTCATGCTCCATACCAGAAGTTTTGTTGAATAGTTAATATCAGCATGTTCACTGTCGTATCGACTAGCTAGTATCAAAGCCTGATATCCATGTTAGCATCAATACTATGAAATGGATTACATCCCAACCAACCTTTTTGGCGATAATTCCTCCTATATCGTGTACAAAGAACGCTATTGGTAACGGCTAAAGTTTTCTGGTTGGTTATCGTTCGAAAATCGAATTCTCGAGGATACTAACAGGATGTTGGTCACTCCTCAACTCATGAAGCTTTTGAAGAAGCTTAGAGGCCTCAGAGGAAATAGCCTCCTCGGAATATGTAGCTTCTATGATATTTGTGGGCTCATGGGTATACTGAATAATGCGGACTTCCCAGTGCATCTGGGCTGCCAAGCCCTGAATCCAGGTGTTGGTCTTGTTTGAGCTCCATTGCTTGCCTCCCTGGCCTCCGAGGCCATGGATTGCTACAATGCTAAAGCAAGCTTTGTTAGTAATATGGCCTGTGAAGGAAACTAAGCTTATCTTACTCGAATTTCTTTGCGCTTGCCTCATATTCTTTGGTCATGTCAATCGAGAGACCCAAGTCAGCAGCCGAAGAATCGTTGTCCATGGTATTGCTTGATGTCCCGGCGGCATCGAGCGACTTTTCGGGTTTCTCCATGTCGACACAAGCGTGCGCCTATGATGTTAGTTAGAACTGTAGGTCAGTGTATAGAAGTTGATAGGTCTCTAGTCATCGTGAGGAGCAATAGTGTCAAAAGCTGACTCATTCTCACTACTTGATGGACTGATCAGCCGTGGATCTCGCGTGAGACTATTGCCGCTGACCCCTCGCAACAAATTTTGTGATGCTTACAACCTGCATGAGCTGAAAGACAACTGGTGATGGCTCTCGAAAACTGACCTATGGACAAGCAGAAAGAAATATGGAGGCTGGGCGACCCTTGTCAATGTGGAGGCTGGAGTTACTAGATGGGGTTATCGTTCCGATGTATCAACAAATCATAGGATCTTCCACCACGGATTTTCGAACAGGATAAGCTATTGCCAAGCGAATAAGCATAAGCCCGCTTTTGAGGATTGAATGGGTCAAAGCTCCGCCAAGGATCTTCGCAAAAAGTTGCCAGTGCGTGATTGAGTTTGTACCTCTGATGTACACTTTATCCAAGGTAGAGTGGTAACGCTATAGTTGCCTCAAGAGCTCTGACTACCTATTTTCCTTGTCTTGACAGAGTTCTCGATAATGTTGGCCGAGGTGATATCGCAGATAGCATTGAGATCAAGTTCCCCAAGCTTCATCTCCATGTCCTTATACCTATCACTTGTGGGACCCAGCGTAGGGTCAAGTAGCACCGGATCATCCCGCTTTGTCGTACCGACAAGCCATTCCATCGACGTTCTCCAGTCTGCTTTGGCGTTGACAGTCACCACGCACTGGAACCGCCCCTCGTCTCTCCTCTTTAGAAGGATCGCGGTTCTCATAGAGACAGGCACGCCAGTCTTTGTCTCAGGGTTTTCCAACAGTGTCCAAGACGCGCAGTTTGGCTTGCCATAGTTTCTCCCGCGCAAATCGATGGATCCTGTGACGGATGCTGCGTAGCTCATTTCTCTTGCGACCTCACGTTCATACTTCAGACCGCTTCCCAATTCAACTCCAGCTGCGCCTGCGCCGAGGGTCAGGTCACCTCCGGTAGTTGTCGTCTCGGTCTGTGTCGTTTGAGCGAATTTCATGTTGCCGTTGGGCGCGATGGCGTAGACGTGAGGGTCGGCTACACCATGCCCACTGGCAGAGAACCTCAGCTCAATATCGACATGTGCGATGCGCCGCGCTCGTTTTCTTGGGTCAAATCGAAATTCGAGAACAATTAAAGTACACAAAGCATCGCCCTCGGGATCGAATAGTCCGTGGACGACGTCGACACTGGAGCAGCGAATGTCCACGGCGCCCTTGCGTTCGATGATATTCTCGCGCTGATACGGATCTAGTGGATCATTTTGCGTGCGAAATTCATTCCCCTCTTCGCCTTTGGGTGCAAGTGAGATGCCAAAGGAGATTTCTTCCTCGGCATCCACATCGTAGTCAGGGTCTGTACTCATTTCGTGAGCGTTGATGGCAATAGGTAGGTTGCGAGTAAATAGTAGAGGTTTGTGATCAAGAAATGGAGGGGATTTTGCGACAGCCTGATCTGATACATAGGAGGTACATGCACTTGGAGTTGGGGTTCTTCGCACCCCTGTTCACATATGGATATCCTTGAGCCTGGTCAGCGGCTAATAAATGACGTGTCTCTGGTTAGCTGCATGCAGGCTGCCGTGGGTAAGCAGACAGGCAGATAAGCAACCAGAGAGGCATTGAGATGAAAAAGAGAAGCTAGGAAAAACACATACCAGTCAAATTTAACACCAAGAACGATGACAAAGGTTGCGTTTACAACAGATGTCAGAGGTGCCGATAGCGATGACGACTACAAGGACGATGATTTTGAGGACGAGCCCGCCAAGATATCTAATAATGATGAGGTGCTTTTCATCTTTGAAAGTATCACGAATGAGGCTCGGAACAAGAAGTTGAACCTGGGTAAGAAAGAAAATCGGGAGAGCTTCTTACAAAAGTATGGACACTTTCTCTCAAAATCGACCAAAGACTCAAACCAGACACTCCTTCATATGATTGCAAACACAGTTGGACACAAGTCTTTGACCCGCTGCGTTATCAAGTTCGACAAGACCTTGCTGCATCGTGTGGACGACTCTAGCAAGACTCCTCTGCATATCGCCATCACCAAAAAGAACGCTGCGTTCATCGAAGTTGTGTTAGACGAGATTGATGACATAGATTCATTGCTCCGCATTACTTGTGAGCACAAGAGGAATTGCATACATACAGCCATTTATCACAATCTCCAGCACCAGTATACCATCAAGTTGGTCAAACGAGCATCCGAAGAGACACTACGAGCCCCAGACCAAAGCGGCCTGACCCCTCTTCACTTGGCAGTCGACTACAAGTATGCGTCAGAAGCACAATTGAAGATTGTGGAGGCACTTCTTGCTCACGGGGATAGCGCTTTGGATGAGTACACCAAAGAGCCTCAGAATCTATCTGTCTATGAGTACCAAGACCACACACAGCGTCTCTGGCGGAAACAATTCGAAGTATCAACTTCCGCTCGTGCTGGGGATAGAAAGCAGGACGAATCAAGGGAGGAATCACAAGGCCAAGAGGGTGAACACGCTGGACCAAGGCCCAAAGGAGGGTTGGAGCATGTCAGTGGGAGAAGTCGCACCTCTCAACAACAAGGCAAAGACGGTCACGGAGGGCTACATCGAGCACCTGAGAATCTTCACGGACGAGGATCAGAACAGACTGACGTATCCTCTTCAAGCCACACTTCTAATGCGAATGGACGCTATGGAGCCGAGACCGGAAGAGCACCCGTAGAAGCACCCGAAGGCTTCAAGCCTATACAGAGAAGACAAACGGGCATGGAGGACGTTGCAAAGCAGGCCCAGGAAGAGAAGCGCAAGGGTGAATACGCAGAGAAGATTCGCCAGGCAGTCAAGCTGCATTATCTCCGGACTACTCTAACGATCGATTCGAAGCCTGCCAGTAGAGACCAGCTCAAAGCTGTCAAGTTTCTCCATGGCGCTAATCTCAACAGTGAGAGAGGAAATCCCCGTAGATTTTGCAGATGCTAACTTTTGGTTGTAGACATCAATCTGTGCTTCGATTACTCTGAGGCTCCACCAGAAATCTATGAGGATTCCTTCAAACAAAGCTATGACCATATCAACTTTGACCAAGTTCTACGTTATGTTTCATTCCGAAGAATAGAACTTCAGAAACCTCCTGTGTCAGCAGTGAAAGCAAGGCTAACAAGAAATCGAGCCCAAACGTCTCATAAGGGACGTGGCAGGGATGACTTGACTGTTTTCTTCAACTGGTTCAATGGAAAAGGGGTCAAACACATCCTCAAAGTGATGGTGGATGATCTTAAGGACCCATCGCATAGTGATAAGGCACTCGAGGATTGTCTTAGGCCCTTTGAGGTGGAGATTCTTGATTGGACCAAGGTTGACCTGTGTCCAGAGACTATCTTAACTGCTTGTCGAAATGTGAGGCAGCTTTATCTGCGATGGAGCGGTAACAGGGCGATTTTGAGGGCTTGGAGCGAGCCTGAAGGGCTGGCGAGGCTAGAAAAGCTGGAGGCGGTACATCTGGTATACAGCGAAGAGCAGGTATGTGTTATTCTGAGACCTACCGTCAGGGTAGCACTAATATTGGACGTTTGATAGGCATTAGAGTCGGCTGATCGCATCACTATGTACGCGAATGATTTCGAGGAGCGATTAAACGAATCAGCAGCCGCCAACCCAAAAAGGACTCTCTCAGATGACGGAGACGATACTGAGCGAGGAAGACGTATACTAGTCTTCAGATGCAAGGCAGATGTCCCAGGAAGTGAACGCATCGTCCGAGAAGGGGCATTTGCAAAAGCTCAAAGTGGCATCAACGAGATGAGTCTACAGTCTAACAGATGGCTAAACTGCATGGATAAGTTCGCCGACGAATTACAGAACACTTGCTCCGAGTTTGTAAAGCCGCAGAATGGCATCAAGGTCGCTCTTATCGACGATGGCGCTGATCCATATGTTGAGTCTCTTAGGGGTAAGATCTGGGGTGGAGAAACGTTCAGCAGAGGTTTCCCGCATGAAAACGGGCCAAGCCCTTACTATAGGTCTACGAAGGGCCACGGAACTGTAATGGCGGATATGATCTGCAGGGTGTGCCCAATGGCGAGATTGTATGTGTATAAGCTTGAGACGCAGACGAGTCTCAACTTGGCGACACAGACTCATGGGAAAGAATATATTGCTGCAGAAAGCGCAGCTCTGGTGAGTGTAGATCTCAAAACGAGCATGTTTACATGACTAACATAAGATAGGCTGTCAGAGCAGCCATAGACCAGAAGGTGGACATCATATCAATGTCCTGGACGGTCAAAGAAACAGTCGAGAATCGCGATGGCGTCAACACTTTCCGTCAAGCCATCAAGGACGCCCTAGACGCTGGAATACTCCTGTTCTGTGCCGCCGCCGACACCGGCGCCATCACAGAAGTCGAGTACCCATGGTCTTTCGACCGTCAGCGTATCTTCCGTATCGGAGCAGCAACGGCAGACGGCCGCGTATGGGGCCCAACCGGCAACCCTCAGAATCTAAGCTTCATCTTACCAGGCCACAAGGTGGTCTCACGAAATCCACACCGAGAGGGAGCGTTACCGGATGACTTTGAAGAACGTACCGGTTCATCTGTAGCAACGGCCTTGGCAGCTGGACTCGCAGCGCTTATCTTGCATTGCGTCAACCTTGCTGTTGTCCACGGCAAGGAGCATCCGTCAACTACGGCTGTTAGTGACTCGGACCTTGAGCGACTTGCGAATCACGATGATATGTATAATGTGCTTCGTGGTATTGGGCTGGATGAGGGGCAGCAGCGATTTATTGAGGTGTGGCGACGGTTTGATCGTCCAGCGAAGGAGCTCAAGGAGCCGATGAATGAGAAAATGGATGCACTTGGGATTGTGGCTAGACTGGCTCGAGATCTTGTTCCTAGTGGGAGTAGCTAGTCTTGGTACCGGGCTATGGGCGGTCATTAGATATATCACTTTGAATCCAGTCAGGAAGTTTAGGCAGGGGTTGCTGCTCAGCTTTGTAGGAAGTGATGATATATATCTGCGACCAAAACTTCGAGGGAGAAGTAATTCCCAAATAAGTTGAAACCGTACGTGACCACCTAAAAATCTTCTTACTATGAAATGGCTTGGTTTTGCTCCTTTTCAATATAACTGATACAAATGTCTGCTAATAAAGATCAAGCCCAAGTCGTACCCCACATTCCACTTGCATACTTATGCGTCCGGATCTTGCGTCTCCCATCAGGCAACACTTCAACATACTCATTCAACCCAGGCCTATATCCAAGCTCCTTTTGTTTCTGTTTGGCAATCTTATCAGCCTCCTTCTCTTCAGTTGTTGGTGGTCGAGTTGGCAACGGCACCCCGCACCTGCGAGCGTCTTCAACTGCGAGGCAGAAGCCAAGGTCATCTTGTATCTGCAGTAGACTCTCGGCAGATAATGAAGAGATTTGTTTCTGCATGGTACTCAAGCTTGCAGAAGAGGAGGATGCCGTTGGTGGAAGTTTTGTGTAGACGAATTCTGGGAGATCATCGCGAATGCGCTCGCAGATCCAGCAATGGCAGTGTTCTTGCGTGAAGGACGGGCCTTCGAGGTCGAAAAGAATTTTTGCATCTCGTTTAGGATCATCTGTAGGCTCGGGGTGTTGGTCCCCGATCTCTTTCAAGAACGCCTTGTACTGTCTTGGAAACAGCCGATGTGTCCTCCAGAAAATCCTAACTCCGAAGGACTGATGACAAACTATCTCTTCTTCAACTGCATTGGGCTCCCTCAAGTGAAAGTCCAAATACTCCAGGCCCGCTCGGATAAGAGACCCTTGCAAAGCTGGTGAGCGTATCCACAGAAGCTTATGGGATTCCTCAATGATATCTTCATGCCTCTTGACTTCGCTGAATAAATCCGTCTCAATACGCACTTTTCCCGAGTCAGTATATGCCGGGGGACTCTGGATATAATCAAGAATGTCACATGGTTGAGACGATATATTAGTGAACAGCTTCTGCGCAGATCGAGGAAGTACAAGCTGCATCTTATTCATATCGATGACATCGCGAATGGCAGGCCAAGGGAAGCAAATGTTTTTCAAGCGCGTAGCATTGACACCCTGAGCTTCACAAGCAGCATCATAAGCCTCCGGGCTCAGCATAAGTGCGTACCACACGAGGAGTATGTCCAACGGTGGCAGATAGTCTTTCGTGAGCTGAAGAGCAGCACGGCTGCCACCATGGTGCGAGTAGGCGTTCGCATGGTTCAGTAATAACTCAATGCCAGACCACCAGGTTGTAAATCGTGTAACGGCGAGTTTTATGAGAAGATCCCATTTTTGAGATGCGGGAAGCTGCGTAGGCCCTGAAGGTGACGCCGGAACTGGACTCTTGGTGTCATAATATGAAGGTGGTTGGATGACCTCGACGTCAAGGGCCCCCGCGCTAGCCCTCAGGTTGCGAAAACACTCGAGCAGAGCCAGATGGACAGCAGCATGGCTCGCGTCAGGATATGCCAAGAGATTCTCGATGCTTTGTGCTTCAGTTTCGCAGGGAATCGAAAACACGTTTGAGAATACTCTTGGGTCAGGAATTGTTGTTTGTTTGCCATCTGCCTGAGAGGGTTTGTATGACGATGGCAATGACCAGGTGTGCGGGTCCAGATTGACCGCTTGGTCTACGACCTTTGCGCTGCTGCGAAAATTCTTAAACAGCGGCATCGAAAAACCGTTGAACACCCAAGGTGAAGCAGTGTCAAATATGAACCAGCAGAAAAATTGAGCAGAGTCGATTGATTTAAAGAAGGAAACGAATCATTAGCCTGGCACTCTGCCTTGATATTCCTTGGTCGAATTGCGCCTCATTCTGGGGCGCATGACGCTAAGCCACCCAACTCTAAAAGCTTAATTCAGATAAGGGAAGCAGAGGGATCAGCCAAGGCATGCATCCATGACATTTATGAGTTATCATATCGATTTTGGAGTGATGGTTAAAATTGGGGAATTTTCTTGGATATAGGTAAGTGTTGATGCTGCCTTCAATTGTAACAAAGCGGTATTCTTCAAGTCGCTGACATATCAGATAAAATTAACAATCAAGTTTATGTTATTCGAAATCGAAATCGATATCTTCTATTCATCATTGCCTTCCGTGAAAAAGGCATGCAACATCTTTACAGCCTCTACCGAATCATCCTTGCCTCGAATCTGTTCCAGAGCAGCCTGCGTCTGCTCGGGTGTAAATCCCCGTTCAGGTGTATAGAAATACTTAATCGTTTCTCTTGAAATCTCCTCATCGAATTCAAAGTGACCTTGAAATGTCAAAACACGTCCCGGTTGAAAAATACCCTGCACGACGCAATGCGGCGTACTTCCTATCGACATCCACGATTCGGGCCAAGATGTCTCAAGTCGAACATGGTCGCCGTGTGCAAACTGCATCCGTAATCCATCTCCCTCAGGCAGGCTAAAAACATGACTGAACTGAGCTGCGAATTTTGGGTTTAGGGCGACTTTATGAATGCCAACTTCATAACCCTTTGGATCTCTCTCGACAATCACACCGTAATTTTCAAGCAGCGCTGCAGAGATTATCTGGTGCCCGAAGCAAGCTCCAAATAGTCGCACATGTTGATAATTCTGGTAGGTTTCTTGAATGAAGGATTTCAACTTCGCAGTCCATGGATCCTTATCATAAACTCCTTTGATAGATCCAGTGATGAGGAAGGCGTCGAAGTCATTAGGATTAGGATATTCGTCTTTAATAATGTCGAATGCAGAAGTTTCTAAGGGCCTTTCAGACCGTAGAGTCTTGTTGACAGCTTGTAGTCGATGGGCAAAGATGCTGCTATATGTTGGTCCCCAAGTTTCGGCGACCTTGGGCACAGCGTAGTCGCAATCCAGAATGGCGACCCGTACAGGTTGCTGGAGACGACCTTTCACGGTCATTATTTCTCAGAGAAGCAGACGGTTAATATTTCAATATTGAAATTTAGAAAGAGTTAAAGAATTCAGATCACTTGAGGAGTTGGGGCCTTGGAAACCTGTAGATAAGGACTATCTTATAATGTCCGCCTGATCATGAATTACAGCCGAGTGCACCCCCACTCACTATTTTTTCCAAATCTGGGAAGTTTTAGAGAGCGTTGGTTTGACTAGTTCAATCTGATGCTACCAAGAAGTGGGTGTTCTCCATCCTTATCGGCTACTTGCCGGCCTATACCGAAGTGTTCGGGATAGCCTCCGACTAACATATCCAACCCCCATCAACATTATAGACGGCTCCGGTGACAAAGCTAGCTTCATCGCTAAGCAGAAAAGAAATGACATTCGCGATTTCATGGGGCTCAGCAGGACGCTTTTGAACCTGAAGTGCAACTTCTGCTTCTACTGCTTCAGCCATTCCTTCACCTTCCATCATGGGTGTTCGGACACTGCCTATTGATGATAATAGTCGTCAGAATTGCTGTACTTTGATGTGGGTAATCTGAGTCATTATTATTGGTCAAGTGGAATGTAACATACCGGGTGCAACACAGTTGATGCGAATATTCTCGTTCTCCTTTGCGGCAGATCGAGACATGCCAATGACAGCATGCTTGCTTGCACAATATACAGAAGCATTAGCAAAACCAGCTTGACCATCAACACTAGCTGCCGATACCTGTACACACATAAGTTTTCGAGTTCAAGTCAGGAGCATGATCGTTACATACAATGCTTCCTCCAGACTTAACATGCTTCAACTCTGCTCTCAAACAATTGAAAACACCTCGAGCATTCACCCCCATGATGAAATCCCACGTATTGTCAGTCTCATCACGAAGGCAAGTACCGTGAGTAAAAACGCCAGCCATATTAACAGCGCCATCAAGCTTGCCAAAGACAGAAACTGTCTTCTCGATCCAGGCATTCACATCTTGGCTGTTACTCACATCGACTTGGGTAGCGATGTGCCCATTCCCGGGCAGAGACTCGAGAGCAGTTTCAAGCCCGGCTTTGTTCATGTCGGCGATCGAGAGTTGGGCACCACGGCTTGCTAGGAGTTTAGCAGCTGCGAGGCCAATACCAGATGCTGCGCCAGTAATGGCAATCTTCGATACAGATTAGGTACTTGAAGGTAGAGGCAGGGTTGTTGGTGGACATACCGTCTTGCCGCCGAGTGAAGCCATTGGTGATGGACTTTGGTTTTTATTTGGCTGATATTGGGCGTGTGTATGCTGAAGTACTACCTAAATTGTGATTTGGAGTTGAGACCTGTGGCTGAGAGCTAATAATCACCACACGGAAGTAAGTATATCTTAGATCAAAATACTTACAATGGGTCAGAAGATGAGCTGAGCTGTCGCTATTTAAATAGGTCCTTCATTCCCAAGAGCTGTACTTAGGCACAGACATTACGCATTCCGTGATCCAAACACCACGTTTTACCCTGGCTTCCTATCTCGATATGTGGTATGTATCACAAACACACCTTTTTATCCATATCGGGTTACCGTTTAGTAGCTGTGCATAACCAGCGTGCTCTGCATTACCCTCCATACGGTTCGTTAGGCTCGACATGCCGAATCCGGTTAGACAGCACAGACGACCTTAGCATCTTGTCTCCGAAGTTTGGCACAGATCATGATACAGGAATGATTCAACGGTAATCATGAGAATCCAACGGTGGGGCTTCGAGTAATGAGCTTCTATCGATAATGTCAAAAAACCAGCGTCGCTTGCGAGTGATCTAGGGTAGCTAAGATGATGGAGTTTGTGTAGGGCAACACAGATAAGATAAGATAACATCTAGAGTGTGCCGTGAGATGACTGTCAGGCTTGTTTTAACGTTCCCTTTGCTTGAGAGATCTGAGTATAAAAGAGATAACTAGACTTGCTACATAATAAGTGTCTAATGATTAAGCCAAAGTAGATGGGGTCTGAGAGAATTGTTTGTGGAAATGCATAAAATCTATATAGTCTAAATTAAAATTAACTTTCCTTCCTTATTTCATTGTTTAGGTTACCTTATCCTCAATCGGATACGTTTGTTTCGAGGCATCTATATATAAGTCGTTTATATCATGGTGGAACTGCCCATGCACCCGGCGGGCCAGCGAAGTCATTATGCTCCTGCTCAACAGTTCGGGCGTCTTGTGTTTGTGTTTCCAATTGTGGCTTACAAAAACGCCCTTGCACTCGCCATTTCCATCAAGTGTGAACTCATTGCCATTTGCCTGATTGCACGGTATGTTCTTCACATCGTGTGTTCTGTTAAACTCATACCGGATGTAGTACGAAAAAGCGCTCTGCTCATGTGCCCACTTGAAGTTCCAGTGGTCACAGCCTGGTATACTTCGTGGGCAATCTTCCCATCGTTGAAACATTTCTTGGGTACGCTGACTTGCTTGTGCGATGACGAAGCCTGTGTTGAGAATTAGGTTTCCTTGAGGATCGTAGTCTTGTTCCCAGTCGAGGTCGTAAGCCATAGCGACTAGGGTTTCTGGGCGGTAATCCCAGAGGTTCATGAGCCATTCTAGTGGGAGGTCGAGATGAGTGAAGACTGCATCTGAGTCTAGCGAGATGACGAAGTCGTGGGTCTTGAGGGCTTCTTTGGTGATGGCGGGCTTAACCCAAGTTCCATGTCGATCGGGATAGTCGGCTGCACGGACTAGTCGGTAATCGTAGCCGTGAATCATAGCTAATTCTTGAATATAAGCACAGTGTCAGGAACCAGCATTCGTAAACCGTACCGTATATATAGTGGTTCAGGTGACCTCCAGTCCGACCAGGTAGTGTTGTAAAGTTCAAGGGGCATTCATTCAACATCGTGTTTTCGGTTTTTCCATCAAGCCGAGTATCAGTATCGACGATGACAACTCGTTTTCCAAGTGGTTTCTTCCATCGCACTTGGTTGATCGGTACTTCGAAGCGTTCTCCTTTGTCGGTGACGAACACTCTCTCCGTGATAGGATGCACGAGGGGCTTCCATAGCTCCGCCATCAGCTTAGGAAGAGCTAAGCTTTCGGTTCCATTGCCATGTTGTTTGTATGCTTCTGGTCGAGGTTTCTTATGACAGTTGGCACTGAATGTATCCGTAATTTGAGGAGGAGGGGGAGGGGGAGGGTTGGATGGAGTGACAGTGGGTTTCCTATGCAATATATCGTCATTAGTATCGCTAATGGAAGCCTTTACCAGACAAGAGGGTAGCCAGTATGCACTTACAACGGATAAAACGAAGAGACGGGGAAGCAGAAGAGGATAAGAAACGCAGTGAGGCTAACAACAGAGCAGATCCATATTGCGCGTCTGGGAGCGTTCAAGGCCCCCATCTTCACACCATTTTGGGAACCACAGAATTGAAGACCCATTTTCAAAAAGACGAAAAACCAACAAACCAAACATGACACGACAACGGCCAACTCAACGATTTAAAGATGGCACTTAGACTGGGTTCCATCCCCAGGGGTTACGGCATGATTCGTAGCCCTACTGATCTACGAAGGCCCGATGCTACGTCCCTTACTTGTAAGTAGGAATAGCCGAAACGTTGATCTACGTAATCAAGTGGAAGCATCGCTGTCACCCAGATACTATTTGGCCAATGGCATCGCATCTGTCGTATGATTCCCGTGATTCTTACTGTCCAAGCACGACTTGTGGCTGGAATAGGAAACTACCGAAATATACGAGAAGGCTAATTTCCGTTTTCTTACAAGAGAGAAATGTTCTAGGCCTGTTTAAGCTCTGGCTGTTGGTCGTTAAAGTGTTACCTAACGTAAGGTCCACAGCTCGGTTAAGGAGCCGATGAGCATCAGCCAACAGCCAACAGCCAACACGCAGTCATATCATTCCAGTACGAAGAAAGTTCGTACAAAGGAGCTTTCTTTCGTATTATAAGCCTGGCCCGAGTCGTATAACTTCCATCACGATATTTCAATAACGCCATTAAGCTTAAATTGTCCCTGTTTTGTAATACAATCTTTTATGACGATATTCGTCAACCTGCCAGGATCGCTGGTAAACAGTGGAGCTATGGTTGCAAAAAACACGCATCCTTATATGAGAGTTCCAATTTATTGGACTTTGCGTATGATCCAGCTAAGCCTCCCTTTTTACGCGTCAAGGCTGAGGCGCAACGCTGAAGGATTCAGTAGCGTAGCGGGAAAAGGAAGACTGTTTCATTGCTTTTACGCAAAGGCCAATCACATGCCCTGGCATCGGGCCAAGTACAGTTCACCACCGACTAAGGTTAAAAGGCTAACATCCCTGCTACTTTACTTCTACATGAATTCTTTTATTCATGTTTATCTTCGTTGAAGCTCTGATGATTGGTAATACAGCCCAAGATGGTGAAAAGCCTTTACCGGGTTGTCCTCTAACTTATTATATTTGCACTATATCTAATTGATCGTTCTTGCCGAAATGCTGTCTCCGCAAGGTGCAGATCACTCGCCTTATTATCCTCACAAAGTACTTGGTTGAACAAATACCCCAAAAATCAGTATCTCGAACACAGCATCATGAACCTCCCTCGTCATTATCGACCTGAAAGCTCATATAAACCTTAAGTAAATGATCTACGTATCCTGTAAGTCCCGAAGTGCTAGTAGCAAACTGTCTGCAATGGATTTTGCAAGTTTCGATCTCTTTGAAAGACACGTCAATGCTCTGACACAACATTCAAACCACTGCAAATTTTGCCGAAAACCTTCTGTTTGAAGATGCTGCCCATTATTTTTAATTGCACAAATCGTTGACAGGTGATAGAGAGAAGACCTGGTAAAAGCTTCCACCAAAATTGACGTGCAAGGATCTGTCAAGAGTGGGCTCTCTTGAACCGCCACATGATAATTTGGAAGCTGTTTGGTATGGCTGGTCTCCCGTGGAATCACAGCGCCGGCGAGCTCAGCAAGATTGATTGCACTGCTCCGTCTGATATTCATATAGCTGTTTGGTGCGTGACCCATCTTGTCATCAGTATTTGCGTTCTTATGCACTAGCTCTAACAAGTCCGCGAGAACCAGTGTACCGAGGTTCCAGGCTGTGAAAATGCATACAACCCAGCTTCTAAGCTTTGACGAAACTCGATCATAACCTCGTAACAAGCCTTGGAAAAACGAGGCGTACGTCATGTCCCAGTATCGACAGACAGTAATTGCTCCTTTTGTGGCATTGATGATATTATGAATGCTCGACCTCTTCCGCAACGCGTTCTGGATGTATGATAGTTGGCGGTAAAGTAAAACCTTGATGGGAGCTGCTTTGATCATCGCTCTTGAGGCGACTTCCTCTGAGCAGGGCCAGCGGAGAGACTGTGGCATTTCGGAGTCGTCCCTAAGGAACATGTCAAGTCTCCATTGACAATGTGTGTCTTGTAGAGAATCTGTCCTGCAGTACTCATCTGCTATAACGACGGGTCTCTTGTTCAGTGGCGAGACAACAGTGTCGAACATTACAAGGAGCCAATATATGAAACCAACAGTCCGTCGTCGTTGTAGAGCATAGATGTCTTGAGGTCCGCGCTTTGACTTTAGGTCCTCCATTTCAAAGCGGTATTTCAATGCAAGCATTTTCCTTGCTGCCTGTTCCAGATGTGCAGAAGGGCGTTCATTTGACAGGATGTGGCCTATGACATGAATGACCGAATGTTGATCTCTTGAGAGACAGGGGTCATTCCTGTGGCTACTGTAGTCCTGATTATGTCTTGGTTCTGGTCTTTCAGTGATACCGAAGATGAATTCAGCATAAACAATCCTAAAACATTCAATCCCCATGTTTTCTTGAAGGGCTGTTCTCGCTTGCTCCCAAAGTAGTAGTTGCAGACTATAGTCCATTGGCATGGTAGCTGGTGTATTTGAGTGGTGTAGGTGTTCAACACTCGTGGGCGATGCTGTCCGTTCCTTGGTCTGTTTCTGAGTCCATTGAGCTGCAAAGGCCAGTATGCAGAGATGCAAAGTCCGAGAAACCACCATATTCTCTTTGTGAGATAATGGTGTCCAGATTCTTTGCGTGACACGGTCCAACTGGAAGATATACTGGTAGAACGGATTTGTTGGACCAAAGGTACAACCTGAGAGTGATGCGACGCCATGTCCCTGTCCTTGTGAGGTACTCTTTTGGGATGAGGATGGCATGGAATATGGGCAGGTGACTTCGGTTATCCAGCAAGAGAGGTTATTTTCAAGAACGTCATGATAGATGCAGAGTAGACTTCGTGTCAGAAGTTGGTTATTGAAACCCACGGTCATTGATACATTGGCACTGGGGGCTAAAGGGACTGTTGATATCTTCTGTTCACCGTGAACCTTCCGACGACAGTGGCTGGGTTGTGCGTCTGGTGGCGGCCTTGACTTGATAGAAGATAATGTGTTCTCGTAAGAGGATGCCATGGCTTCAGCTTTAATTGAGGTAGTAGACTTTTGAGATGAGGCCTGATTGGGATCTCGGTTCCTGGAAGGTCCAAGTTCGCTGGCAGTATATGCACCTTGATTCGCACGCATACCAGTTAACCCCCAGATAGCGTTCAAGGAGCATAGCTTTGATGCTTTCTGGCAATATGAGCAAGGACGAATGCTCGAGATATGATCTTGATCTATTGCTACGGTAAGTCACATTGGAAGTGAAACGCAAGGAGTGGTTTTGTACCACAGCTGCTTGATGAAGTTATCGAAGAGGCGAGACTTGAGTCAGGACCCCGGTCTCTGTTGAGAATATACCCATCACAAGCCTTCTTTGCCTTTTGACATTGGAGGCATGAACGTTTCTGGCGTCGAGGGATTTGAAAAGACATGACGATTGGGCTTAGGTCAAGTGAACTGGTGAATAGGAGAAATCAAAGCGAACAGGATCGAATGCGAGTTTCAAAGAACAGAAGATGTCAGAGTGAGGAGGATGAGAGAGAGGAGAGTAGTTGTCGTCCACACCAATCTTAACTAGCTCTGTGCTTAGATCGGTCGGTTGACTAACAATCCTGTATGGAGCAACATATCAGTGAGCACGCCAGGAAACTTAGTCGACTGGGATAGTGGGATCAGGAGTAAACCTGGGGTACAGCACGCAAGGGCCCCGAGGATGAATCTCCGGAAATCCTGAGAACAGCAAGACATTAGATCCAGTCACCATCCATCCCGTGCTCTTCAAAGTACATCTTTGACCCCGGCTATTGGCCATGATACTGATGGAGCAGATATTCCTGTGATCTAGCTCGTTGCGGGGTATAAGTCGTTCGGCGAACTTCTTCCGAAGCCACGTAACGACGATAGCCGCCGTAAATTGCAATCTACGACATTATTACGCAACAGATAAGAAGGCCTGGAAACTTGGCGCCCTATCAAAGATAGGCTGGTGTTAATTGAAGCTGGGATTGTGGCACATGATAAGTATTAAGTTTGAGCGCGGCGGGAAAAGGGGGTCAATTCTAGACCCCAGCGCTTTACCCGATTAGGATAAAATGGTGAGTATGAGAGGCTTATCAGTCCGATGTTGAGTTATGTTAGTCTAGCTTTGTACTTGGTGAATGAATACCTCGTTTGCTGTATTCAAGGGCAAATGGATCTGATGATAGCTCAATAGTTGAGATAAGAATAAAGGACCGGAAGAACGGAATGAGATGTCGGTATAATATCCAGTCCAAATCACCCAGTTGATTGCATCCTCCCGTCGAACCAAACCCCTATTTTCGATATCTTGCAACACATATTACAATAACTTTCAGATAATCATGTCAAATATGGAAAAATTCGGCTCTGCCAGCCAGGCAGTCAGTGCTGATCAAGCCCTGGCAAACCTTGGGTACAAGAACGAACTCAAGAGGACTCTATCTATATGGACTATTTTGGGACTGTAAGCTACAACATAACTTCTTCAGCTAAACATAACAACTAACAAGGCTTCGTACAGATCTGTAGCTATCATGGGTGTCCCCTTCGGCCTGTCAACAACTCTTTACATTACCCTCGTCAACGGCCAGTCCGTCACTGTTCTCTGGGGCTGGGTCTTCGTAACACTATGCTCCATCTGCATCGCCGCCTCCCTAGCGGAAATCTGCGCTGTATATCCTACCGCTGGAGGACCCTACTTTTGGTCTGCGATGGTATCGACTAGGAAATACGCGCCCATAGCGTCCTGGATCACAGGATGGTTGAACCTCGTGGGAAACTTTCTGGTCACGACGAGCATCAACTTCTCAGGCGCGCAGATCGTACTATCAATAGCTTCTCTGTTCCACGAAGAATACGTTGCTACGCCTTGGCAGACTGTCCTCGCGTTTTGGGCGTTTACAATCCTTGCTGTGGCGGTTAATGTATTTGGGACAAGATATCTTAGCGCTATCAACGTTGGCGCTATGATATGGACTGCTGTTTCGGTCGGAGTCTTTATGATTGTTCTTCTGGTTATGGCCAAGGCGAGAAGATCTGCTGGTTTTGTTTTTACGCACTATGATGCTTCGGCGAGTGGTTGGCCGACGGGCTGGTCGTTCTTCGTTGGCCTACTTCAAGGCGGTTACGTGATGCTCGGATATGGCCTCATCGCATCTCTCTGTGAAGAGGTCGAGAATCCACATCTCGAAGTCCCTCGTGCTATGGTAATCTCCGTTGTCGTCTCTGGATTCGTTGGTCTGGGATTTCTCATTCCCGTGCTGTTTACTCTTCCTGACGTCGCTACTCTTCTGGCCGTTACGAGTAACCAGCCAATTGGCACCATGTTCAGGATGGTCACGGGCTCAAACGCTGCCGCTGTCATACTGCTTGTATTCATCATTGGAATCTTTCTATTTGCTAGTATTGGAGCGTTCACAGCCGCAAGTCGTTACACGTACGCTTTTGCTCGCGATGGAGCTATTCCAGGTCATCTTATCTGGTCTCGCATGAACAAGCAGCTCGAGATGCCACTGATGGCCATGATTCTCAATGTCGTTGTGAGCATGCTTCTCGGCCTTATCTACTTTGGATCATCAGCAGCCTTCAATTCTTTCACGGGAACTGCCACCATCTGCCTTTCAACATCATACGCTACACCCATCCTTGCGTCCCTCATCCGATCCCGAAAACCAGTTCACGGATCAGCATTCTCCTTACGCTCGTGGGGCTTCCTGATCAATGGCATCTCGGTTTCATGGATATTCTTCTCCATCATTCTGTTCTGTATGCCCGTCACTCTACCTGTGACCGCAAGTTCGATGAATTACTCCAGCGTTGTTTTCATGGGCTTTGGATCTGTGAGTGTTGTATGGTACATCATCTACGGAAGGAAACACTATAGAGGCCCTGTAGCTAGTATGGAGGAAGATTATCTCCCTGGTGTCGTGGTTGAAAGTCCTGGTCATGAGGAAGAGATGGAAACCATTAAGAAGCTTTGATTGTATCGGTCGGTAATTAAACTGGTTCTATCTAGCATATGTACGGAAGTGCCAAAATTTATCCACTGTCCCCTGTTGCTTGACAGGCTATGAAGAGACCAGTATTTAACCCAATGAGTTTACTTTGGACAACATTCGAGTTTAACGCGCACCCCATCGCGTCTTTGCTTCAATTAGTCCCATTGCAATCTGACACGCAGAAAGGGAGAATTCCTGGTAGGACTTCAAAGGATTGGGGCGACTATCTTCGTAAATTAGAGAGGATGCGAACTCAGGACGGCTTCATGTGTGCACGCGCCGACTCCTCTCGGAAAGGTTTATTCAGATCGCACAATCACAATTTCCCAATCCAAAAATTGAAACTTGGAACAAAAGGCTCAATCGTCCTCTACTTTAACTACTACTTCGCACTGGCGCTCTCTGGCCCACCCCATCCAGGCTTCAACATTGCCAAGGCAGCATTCTCAGATGCAGCCATGTTCGAAGCCAAAGCACCAGGTCCAGACGGGCCTGGGTCATGATAAGGATGTACAGGTCTCGCCCGCCCCTTGGTAACTTCAAGAATAGTGCCACTGTTGATCTGTATATCTCCATTGTCGGGGTAATATCCAATCGTCTCGCTCATGGTGTCCCTTTCGATCAAAGCAACCATAACTTCAGCAACTTCCTCAGGCTCAACCCAGACATCCTGCAAACCGTCAATCATGGCCATCTTCTCGGGGTTGTCAGTGTATAGAGGAGTTTTGATGATGCCAGGCGCAACAGCAGCAGTACGGACATTGGCTGAGCTGATGTTGCTCAAGGAGCGAACAAAGCCGCTGATGGCATGTTTCGAGGCATCGTAGAGGGGGGTCGCGATACTTGTGTCCTGGGCGCTCGTGCTTGAGATCAGGATGATGGTCTTATTACCTCTGTCTTTGGTGCCGAGAAAGTGGGAAATGGCGAGCTGAGAAGAGCGGATAGGATGGACCAGGTTGATGTCAAGGAGGGCATATCGTCCGCCATCGACGGTATCGCGACTTGCTGAAGTCCCAGGGGGGTGCCAAAAGTTGCTGAAAGGCTTAAGCAGGGTGTTAGAACAACGAGGTCATTGATGCTAATCAGATCAGGATGAGAACTCACAGGTTCGTACACGCCAGCACCAGGACAGACAATGTCAATGCGATCGAAATGTTGCTGAGCTGTTGTGAACATGCGCTCAAGTTGAAGCCAATCTCGAACATCTGTCTCCTGGAAGACAGCGATGCCATGGGAGTCTGGCTTGGTATCCTTTTGATGCTCTTTGAGCAGTTTCTGAGCCTCTGGTCTTAGGGCCAGATCAGCTAAAACAACATTGCAACCTTTGGCAAGCAAAGAAGAGGCAAATGCTAGGTTGATGCCGCTGCCAGCACCAGTGACGATGGCTGTTTTGCCTGTGACTGACTGAGACATGCTGAGATGCTGAGTTGAGATGAAAGTACAGGCAAAGGCAAGATTGGAATTGGTTTGAGAGAGGTAGATAGGTAACCAACAAGCATACAATAAGTACTTCCCATGCAAACTCATGACCCAGCATCAACTTCAACACGTTATTCATTCCCTTCTTTAGGTAGCCTAGTCCCTGCTGTCGCTAAACTAGTGCGTAGTAGTATCTAGATTGCGGGGAAGTGGAGGTGCATGATAAGACACCAAGGTATTGTAGCTTACCCCGATCAAGATAAAAAGGTGAGTCTGCCCCTCTCACCTTATCCCCGGACATTCAACTCTGGTTCACCCTTATTTAGACACTCAACATTTTATCCAAGTTTGACGAAAACACAGAGTACTCATACTCATTATGCCGACCAAAGTAAAAGGTCCGTTCACAATTCCCCCACGCCTAAGCGTCAAGTACTCACTATCACCTGACAGGTTGTCGCAATTGTTCACGCCGTCGTATCAACTGTGATAGAACATTACCGCACTGCCGGAAATGTGTTCGAGATAACCTTGAATGCTATGGCCTTGATGGAACGTTTCGGTGGATGGCCGAGCCGATCAATAGGCGAAAGCGGACTGCTCGGTCCCGACGAGTGAGCCAGAACACCGTCACAAGCACGGAGGTAAGGAGCCGCACTCCTTGTGTCATCACGAGGTCGACTGACTGACTTTGACAGAATCAGCTGGTTTGCGGACACGATGACAGTTCTCCCGCTCCGCCTAGCCCTTATCCCGAACAGCCACTCTACCAGCCCGAGCACTGGGTAACAAACTTCTGTGAGTCCTCATCCTGAATCGTAGACAGTGACTAACGTATTATACTAGTCGCTGAGCAGATTACTCCGTGGATGTGTCCAATCCTTCAAGCCGATAACGAATGCAAGATGCATCTCCTCCCCCTGGCAATGTCATCTCCACTCGTCTTTGATGCCGTCGCCGCAGCTGCGTATCATCGCCTCGCATACTACGGCAATCCCAAATTCGCCGCAAAGGCCGAGCACTACAAGGCCTCGGCCATCAGGGGTCTCATAACCAGCGCCCGTAGCGTGTGTACCTTGTCGGCTTCGTCGTCGGATCAACTGTTTGCTGCTGCGACATTGCTCATACTCATGTATGACGAGATGATAGCGGCGCAAGATACGTTCATCACACTGGCCCGCATTATTGGTAATATGCGCAAGTTTGTAAACTTTTCGAGCCTGGGTGGTAGTGAGAAGCTTCAGAGGTATCTGACAGAGCAATTTGGCTTGTACGTGTGATCTTGGTGCGCCAGAGCTGAGATACTAACTTGCACGCAGCTTAACAATATTCTCTCTTCCTCATACAGATGACGATACAGCCACGGAGCAATTGATATCAGCCTTCAACTTTGTCGAAGAATTCGCCGAGTCGTGCGCACGCGACAAGCACAACCCGCCCTTTCTAGCGGAATGTTTCAGAACGATCCTGACAGTCTGGCATGGACAGAAGCATAACCCAAGTCTCAATGTCAATCTTGTCATGGAGGACTTCAAGTCGAAGATCGAATCAACAAGCGACATAACTGTCTTTGATCACTATCTCACCTGGGTGTACTTCATGTCTTCGGCAGCGTCTCCAAACGTGTCGCTGCGTAATTTCTTCAGAGACAGGCTACATAAACATACTACTACTTTTGGATGGAAGAATGTCGCGATGATGCATGCGTTTTTGGGGGAGTTGGAGGGTGCGGGGGTTGCGTGGCCAGAACGGCTGCAGTCGCATAAGAAGTACATTTGCGCGTAGTAAAATGCAAACTTATCAATCAAAAGTACTGAAAGGTCAACTTTGTAACTGCGATGATGGTGCTCTAGAACTCGTCCATTGTGTGGAGAAAGACAAACGCCATAGCCTTGGGAAAGATTGAGACACCAGCTGCACGACTACACGGATAGCTTCAAAGGTGACCATACAATTATCATTTGTGATACATCCTCCCGCCCATAAAACGGATGAAGGGATCTCCAAAAAGAGCACATTCCTCTATGGACATTGATCTAGAACGTGACATGATTGCATGAGAGTACTCAGGTATTTATCCCGATACGGTTTGGCGAACCTCCGCTGTCAATGGACGCCAAACGATGCGGCAGTACAACAACCCAAGAGCAGTATTAAATGGGAACAAACCTCTAACCAACCTGTTGTGAAAGTAAAATTGCAACATTATCTATCTCCAACCCTTGATCTCAATTTACCTGCTCTTCAATCGCTATGCCCTCTGCAACTGTGAGCTCAGGCTTTGCCCGTGACATTGCCGACACAGTCCCCAACCACGCTACCAACGGCCATGACACTACCAAGCCCAAATACCGTAAAGTCGATGTTGCCATAATTGGAGGCGGTTTCTCAGGCTGCTACCTTCTACACAAACTCCGGAAGCAAAACTTCAGCGCTGTCATCATAGAAGCTGCCTCGGGTCTCGGAGGTGTCTGGCAGTGGAACTGCTACCCCGGCGCCAGAGTCGATACACCAGTTCCTCTATACGAGTACTCAATGGAAGAGGTATGGAGGACTTGGAACTGGACTGAAAAGCTCCCGACTGCAGCTGAGCTGCAGAAGTACTTTGAACATGTCGACAAGGTGCTTGATCTCAGCAAGGACGTCATCTATAACACAAAGGTTACGGACGCTACCTTTGACGATGCCACGAATAAGTGGACAATCCAGACCGACAAGGATATTGGAATTGAGGCAAACTGGTTTGTCCCAGCTGTCGGCTTCGCCGCCAAGCGATCATTCCCCGACTGGCCTGGCTTGGATGATTTCCAGGGCATTATTCACCACTCGAGCTTCTGGCCACATGAGGGCGTGGACCTGCGCGATAAGCGTGTAGGAGTCATTGGCACCGGAAGCACAGGTGTTCAGATCGTGCAAGAAGTCGGTCCCCAGGCCAAGTCGCTGGTTCTCTTCCAGCGCACTCCAAACCTGGCTCTGCCGCTGAACCAAGCCAAGCTCACCAAATCGGAACAAGATCTCGAAAAGGGCTCGTATCCTGAGAAGTATGAGTCGAGGCTTCTTAGCAAAGGAGGCTATGATTTTAGCCCATCTGACCTGCGTACATTCGACCACAATGCGGAAGAGAGGAGAGCATTCTTCGAGGACAAATGGGACAAAGGCGGGTTTCACTTCTGGACCGGCGCGTACAGCGACCTCTTGACGAGTCTTGATTCAAATCGCGAGGCCTATAGTTTCTGGTCGAACAAGATCCGCAGCATGATTAGAGATCCTGTCAAGAGGGAGATGCTTGCGCCCTTAAAAGCACCTCATCCCTTCGGCACCAAGCGTCCAGCCCTCTTTCGCAACTTTTACCAAGTCTGCGATCAAGACAACGTCAGCATAGTAGATGTGAACAAGACCCCCGTCACGAAGATTCTTCCCGACGGTATCGTCACAGCAGATGGATCCACCCACGAGATCGACGCCCTCGTTCTCGCCACTGGCTTCGACGCTATCACAGGCGGCCTCAAAGCCATAAACATCCTCAACAGCGCGGGCGAGACTCTTTCAGAGAAGTGGTCAAATGGAACATGGACAAACCTCGGTCTAATGACAGCCGACTTTCCCAACATGTTCTTCATGTACGGGCCCCAGGGTCCAACAGCTTTATCCAACGGCCCAACCTGTGTTGAGATCCAAGGTGATTGGATCGTTCGAGCGATAGTTAGTGCCAGGGAGGCTGGAAAGCAGCGTATGCGTGCGACGGTGGAGGGACAAGATAAGTATAGAGAGTTGGTGAACGGGATGACGGCGGATACACTCTTTCCGATGGCGAATTCGTATTATATGGGCGCGAATATCGATGGGAAGCCGAGAGAGGCGCTGAACTTTCCGGGTGGTATTCCGATGTATAGAGAGTTACTTAACAAGGCTGCTGAGAAGGGATACGATGGATTTGTATTCGAGTAGAATATTCTATTAATTTAGTCAGAGACTCCTGTTTTTGGTATCTACGGTGCCCACTCGCGTGCTTGGTGACCAATGCCTGTGCGATACCTTTATGAGAATGAGGACGTTGTGTCAATTGCGGGCACTCCATCAAGCACTTTGCAATAGATGTATAATGGAAAGACGACTACCTTTGTACCATGGTTGATCAACGTGCTTCGAATATATACAAGCTAGTATTGCGGAGATCAAGTGCGGCTCTGTTACTGGCTTCGTCAGCCAGGCGTGAAACAAGCTGCGCTGTCCAGCCCTTTTGATGTTCTTAGTGTTAAAGTTCTTGACATGTATTTTGACTGCAAGAATGGTCTTTCCTCGTTTATTGTTAATCAAACAGATTCAAATCTGAAACAGAAATGTCCGATGAACTCTCCGATCCTTCTCTCTTGATAGTTGACGGCGGCACACGAGGTACAATCTTGTTGGGGCAACAAATGTCGCAGGATTCATCACCATCGCATCTCCATGCCCATGGCTCACACGATCGAGGCGTTCTTCCTGCCACTGGTTCACAAGCCAAGACCCGAAGATGATCCAGATCATCATCGTCGAGTAATAGAGCGTCAAACATGTCAAAAGCAGTTTCCGTCTCGCGGCTGTTGACTTCATCGTTACTCACGACCCATGAGGTGCCGATGTCTTCTCTTTTGACTTCAGTATAGATGAAATCATCTGAGCGGAATAATTCCCTCGGGACTTGCACGTTCCGGTCTTCTTGGGTTTGTCCGCTAGCTTCTCCCTTTCGCTCTTTTGAAATCCTTGCGTTTTGGGTTGTTTGGACCAGTCTGTAGTCGATAAACCATATCGTGACCTTGGCAAGATCACGGAGGTAACTAATCATATCTCGGAAATCTCCACTAGACATCCCCAATCCTTTCTGTCTGTAGTGTTTCGGCCGCTTTTTGAGCGTATCCATAATCGAGGGGTCGTAATCCATCGCAATGTTGCTTCCTATGAAGCTAAATCCTAATCTTTCATGGGAGGGGCCTTCGTCGAATAGAGATAAAAAGACACTTGGGCGAATATGCCACCAGTTCACATTACTCAGATATCGAGGATCAAAATGGATGAGATCCTTGTCGAAATCCATGGTGATATGTTTGACGACGCCATCGTTGTCTTGGTAAAATGCTGTATGAGCGGCACCCTTTTGACAGATACATTGACCCGGTGCTGCTGTACGTTTCGGGCGAAAGGGAGACTTGACTTGCGACCACCATTCATTCTTAGTGAATCGCCTTTCCATCGCCTGATGTGATTCCTTGCACACAGTCCAGAGAGAACTGTCTGTCAGGTAGACTAAGTCATTTGGGTTGCCAGCGACATCATCAGCTGGGACAGCTAGTGAAAATCCTGGAACGACGTTCACAGACTCATATTCGAATCCTTTAGTGCGTAGTAAGCGGAGAAATCTCCCCTGTATGGGTTGCCTGGGCGTTGGTTGGAGAACACGATGGTCAGCGATGTAGAATCGGTGAACATGACGATCCCCAGGGACTGGATGGACGGCAACTTCCCAGACGAGAATCTGAATCTCTTTGGGGAGTTGGAGAAACTTTGGGAAAGTATCTGGCGCCATGGTTGGGGTGAGATAAAATGAATTTTATATGAATATTGTCAAAGAGCCGGCTCAACTGCCTCGTTTGAAAGTATCAATAAATATGAAAACACAGCTGTTGCACATGACGTAGGCCTAGTCATACACCGAACATCATCTCATTGGTTGAGAAGGCCCAACGCAGGACGGCCCCCAAGACCTGCGATCAGGAAAACGTCGATCGAGAAAATCATATAGAAGTTTTTGAAGTCTAGACTATATGTAATCTTGCTGGGAAGCTGAGAAAGTTGAGCTAGTGGGTCCCTGGAAGTCTTGGGCAGCTGCACCTGATCATATAACTCAGAATCTATTCAAAATTCTCGATATGAGCAATCACAACGCCCGAAAAACTTAGAAAAGAGTGATATTGCTAGCAAGTGTATTTAATAAAGAATAAAGTAACAAAAATTGCTTCAAGATGCCTGCTTGCTACTGTATTCTAGCCCCACTACATATGGTTGCCCGGTTTGCCGCGCGGTTGGCACCATAAGCTGCCGAGTTTGGTGACGTGATTATCAATCATGTTTGGTCGATTAGATATCATGGCATGATTTGCTTATATATCAAACCTGGAAAGATTTGATACCTGCCTGCGCACCCATCTTCTTTGAAAGAGCTGGCATGAGACCTCAATCTTTGGGCATCTTGGGTTTCAGACCGTACAGGCCACATACTATACCAAGGCAAAATATTATCCCTTCTTTTTCTTCGACTTATTATTTATCCACGACCTCTTCTTTCTTTAATATCAAAAGTATGGGTGACCAAGTGAGTCTCTTCGCCGTATTATAGCAAAAGCCTAATGATTAACATCACTAAAGCCAGATGAGATCAGGCTCAAGCCAACCAAGGACGGCTCTTTCATTCGGCCTGACAGTGCCTTTCGCAATTTCGTATCCAAAGAGCCAGACGCTCAGTTCCCGGCTGAGAAGGACCGCTATGCTCTCTATCTGAGCCCAGGATGTCCATGGGTAGGTCACCGCTACATTATACCCTGTCAGTACTGACAAAAAGCCAGTCTCATCGTACCATGATCGTGAGAAGCCTCAAAAGGCTTGAGGATACAATCGAATTGTACATCTGCTCGCTCACCATGGGCAAAGATGGTTGGTTCTTCGATGATAGCCCAGAAGCAGCCAAGTATGGTGTCCTGCCCAAGGATCCGCTCTATGGACTTGATACGTTGAAGCAACTGTATCTCAAGGCCAACCCGAATTATGAGGGCCGATACACCGTGCCAGTTCTTTGGGACAAGAAGACCCACACCATGGTGAGCAATGAGTCGAGCGACATCATTCGGGTGCTCTACACGGAGTTCGACCACCTTCTTCCCGAGGAAGATCGCGAAATCAACAGACCTGGAGGCGGTTTCTACCCAGAGGACTTGCGAGAGAATATTGATGAAATTAACGAATGGGTATACGACACTGTCAACAACGGGGTTTACAAGGCCGGCTTTGCAACATCTCAAGCTGCATATAAGGAAAACGTTGAAAAGGTCTTCAAGTCACTCGATCGACTGGAGAAAATCCTCGACAAAGGACCCTTCCTTCTCGGCAAGTGCATCACCGAAGCTGATATCCGCTTGTTCCCAACCATCCTCCGTTTCGACGTTGGCTACGTCCCTATTTTCATGTGCAACCTTGGAACCATCAGGGATCACTATCCGAACTTGCATCTTTGGCTGAGGAGGCTTTACTGGGATAATACCTTCAGAACTCATGGCGCGTTTCGAAAGACCTCTGAGACTTGGTTTGAGAAATACAAGACTGGTTATGCGAACTCTAGACGAAGAGTTCTTGGTATTACTGGGCCGGATATTGTTCCCAAGGGACCTTTGGTGTTAATCCATGAGTTGGAAGAGGGAGAGAAGCTTTAGGCTTGATCACGAAGTATGACGGTCACTGAACTATGAAACTAGCAGAGCGATACGTGATATTGCTTTGACCACTTGAGTATGTTGAACATTCATATGTCGATTAAGAATTAGTGAATGAGATCTCTTCCTTGCCTGTCGTAATCCTATACCAGATTGTGATAAGCGTCAAGATTCACTGCTGGCATCGGGCCCTGTACTTGGCCAGCAATACTCCAAGTGTGAGAGCACTCAGCTAAGCAACTAACCAGGTAGCTCTGTTCTTCCGGAATACCAAACTTCTCGATAGATCTCGACGCTTGTATGGACGCGTAAATCAATATGAGTGGTGCATGACGAAGCCCATATTGCACTTTGTAAATTCGAACCAGGGCAAGAATATCTTGAGCTGCCGTGGTGCAAGACAGAAGTGAAGCTTCTCGAGCCGATTCAACGTTGCTAGTAGTCGCTGATTCGTAGTTCAAGGCAATACGAATACTGCTATAGAGCAGGCTACACGATAACGGTTAGTCATGAACATGAATTTGCAATAAGAGACTTGCTGAAGCGTGGCCACTGCTGGTGTTATCGTCACACCCGTGGACCATTTATTCCACTTCGCAAAGGCTGGTAGTGCATCCCTCCATTGTAAAAGCTCAAGGTTGAGATTATCAAGCAGCGTTTGGCGCGTGAAGACATCTGTCTGCGTTCGAGGTGTCCGTGGAGAAAATACTGTTGTCATCATTTTCTCAACGATTCTGTATAGGCGAATCTGCTCTTTGAGATATGGTATGTTTGACAAAACTCGAAGCTCCTCTGGGTCATCGCCAAAACCAACAGGGCGCCAATACTCCATTCCGGGTCCGTCACTGATTTCGTTTGTTAGCTTGAAACATGGGAATGAGGGGTGTCTTACGTTATGAACTCCAACAGGTCGACTTCAGCGCTGTCAAAGGCTAGTTGCACGGGCCGCCCAAGTATCAAGCTGATTAGCTTGTCCGAGATGTAAGAGCCCCAATAGATTCTGCGGCGGATCTCGATATCCTCGCTTGAAATAATGGTAGAGTCGTGTGGCAGCCAGTTCATAGGGTCACTTTGAAAACCTAGGTCTTGAGCCATACGGAACGCAATACCTGTCTCTTGTCAAGATCGAAAAACTTTAAGGAGTACACGGTGTATCATACCTGAGAAGGCCCATCCTTTAGACACGTTTCCGCGGCCAATCTCAAAGAATGCTAGACATAGAAAAGACTGGACTGTGGGGATCGAAGGACGGCTGAGGCCCGATACCATGACGATACTCTCAGCCGCCTGGAAGAACTGCTCACTTAGGTTTCTCTCTCCTTCAGTCTCTGACATGAGAAGGCCTAACGCGCAAATAGACAAGAGAAGCGCAGATGACCAGTACTTGCAGCCCCTCCGCTCTCCAAAATGGTCTCTTAGAAACGCTTCTCGATACACAAACATAAAATGGGGGTACTGCCAGCGAAAGAACTGCTGCAGTGCTTTGAAAGCTGTGTCGTCCTCCAGCTTGATGCCGAAGTGATCCATTACATGGTCAAAGTTGGACTCGGCATATAGGCTCTGCGTTGGGCTCGGATAACTCTCACTTGTGGAGAGAAGGTCACTGTTGAAGATGCTAGTGGCGCCATGGTAGACCAGTGATCCCTCCGCATCTGGTTTTAAGCGTGCTCGTGCTAGAGTATCAGATTGAATGACTTGAGAAGGACCTGCAGTTGAAAGATTTGATGCTCCTCCTCTGCTAAGCGCTGGTCCAAGCATCTCATCTCGACGAGCGGGAGTAGCGTCTCTCAACTCCTGTATAAAGGCCTCTAACGACGCAACTCGATTCCTTAAGCCAATCGTATATTCTGACGATGGTGGGTTACGTCTCTTGTCAATCTTTTCATACTCGCAGCCTGCACCAGCCGATGCACAGTTGGTGCAAGGGACTGTTCGAGTGCATCTCAACTAGCGCTGTCAAATTTACACCATCCCATCGTGGCATCATGGCATGAACGTACCTTTCGGTATCGGCAACGTTTGCAACTAGGGATTCATGTTAGTGAAGGATGTCTTTGGTTACGCGCTTGTCCAAGGTCTCACGAGAGTTCTTGCTTCCCTGTTGCGGGGTTCATATCGTCTCAGGCTAAAACAACTAGCTGACACGGTCCTGTGGTGCCAAGTTTGGATGCCGATTAGGCTTCGCCTTAGGTTGTTACGAGATATCAGCTCAACAACGGGGAGGGGGTTGGGAGAACTGGAAGGTTAAATGCAAGTTGGGTGTGTGGGTCGGGATTGTACTCCATTGCCACTTACCTACCCTAGAACGCTCTTTCGGCAAGACTGGGTGTATTAAATATAAATAAATACATTAATACTACTTATTATATACAGTTGAAATATGAAATAATAGAATACTAAAAGTTTAAAAATTAAGTACTTACTAAGTCCTTTAATATTTTACTAAATTACCAATAGTATTTCTATATCTCTAGATCTCAGTTAGAATACTGGCCACTATATATACGTTCAAAACCCCCCAACAATGGATATCTCACCAACTACAACCACGAGCACAAGCAATAGAAAGCTCTCATTCTGTTATACTCTATTAGTTATAGTAAGTATATTCTAACTTAAGTAATAAGAATACAGAGGGGCAGTTGCGAATAGTCGCTCAATACCTTAGATAGCCAGACTAAACTGATTAGCTTTTCCCTTACTACTGCAAATATCTCGTCGATTTCACATTAGCCTGTGGTTTGGAGACAATATTTTTAAAAAAGGACCTTGACTTAACTCCAACTAGAAGCAACCTCTCCATTTAACGAAGCGAACCAAATTCCATTGCAGAAAATCCCAAGCGCCCAAATATCATATGCCAATGATAGTCCCCAATCACTCTTGTTAACCCCCCATTTCAACAAAGGCAACCAGATTTCACCATAACAGATATTTCCACCGTCAGGCGTGATGAAGTTTGAATTATTAGCAGGGATCTGCTCGCCATGCCACTGTTGTGATCATCGCAAAAATCTTGCCCATCTCATTTTGGAATACCAACCTTCGATAGCATCGTTCTCAATAGGTTCTTCCGTGAAGAACTTTGCTGATAGGCAGTCTGGTCGTTCAGTGCTCTCTTGGGGGTAAAATCGACTGTCATCAAAGAACACCCAAGCACGCTGCTGACCGATCATGTATCGGAGTTTCTCTTTGTGGTTCAAAGAAAGTTGCGTGTACATAGATGATTCGCAACCATTTTGGTATTTTCGTTTCCATTTAAATAAGCCATGAAGGCACATGTCCCATCGGAAAGAGTTTATCGGGTCCTCAAAACACCAGACATGTTCAAGTTGTACCTTGAGTGCTTCTCTCTCACCTGGTTTGGCCATATCGTACCGAAGAAAATCGGTGAGACGACCATACCCAAGCGTTGAGAAACCTGTCTTAATGTCACGACCAAGCAAACACTTGAGTCTTGCTTTGGTTTCTGCGTCAAAATTAACAATATTGGGAGAGAATAGGCCAGTTCCAAGTGGAGTCGTCGAAATGGGCGGAAGGCAAACATCGTTGCATTGAGCGAATATTGCCTCGTATAGAGACCAGACATAGTTGTGGACACAACCAACAGCTTCATGCTCGGCATTGCTGATTCGACGCCGCCGTAGATCGGGAACATAAGGGACATTGCTAACCATGGATAATAGCTCGTACACCAGAAATGCTTTGACAAACCTTTTCCGTTCTGGAAATGTGAGACTGGCGGAATTGAATCGTGGTGTTACCTTGAGACCTTTGAACATAAGATGTCCTTCAGATAGTGACCGCTGGGTCTGCGGTAGACAAAGATATTCCCGCCGGGGAAAGGAAGCGGTGGCTTTGGTGATGTAATCCTCGATCAGAAGAAGAAGTTGACTATGTAATTTGTTCAGTTGACTGAGCAGGTGGTCGTTGTTACCCTTGAGTGGATCGGGCAGTTGAGAATTTGCCCAAGCCCGCAAGTGTGCACGCATAGGCTGTGATTGACGCTTGCGTAGAGGCTCCCTACCAGAGCCTCGTGGACTTGGAAGTAAGATAATTGCCATGGCGTCCTGTATCATCTCCGCGTCAAATTCGGCCGCAAGCACTTGTCGTATGATATACTTCTTGTGCGCGAGATATTGTTGAAGCATAATGGGAGAGGCTTGGATTGTGCGTGATATCGACGATTTACAGCGAGTCGATACGAGAACCTGGAGACGAAGCTCCGGCGATAACTTGTTGAAAGGGTCTGTAACAGCGAGCGCCATCTTTTCGTTCTTGAATCGGTCGTCCGCGTTGATGAGGACAGTAAGAAAAGAAAAGACAAGGGGGGAGGGGAGACTGCAAGGGGCCAACACGGATATTTATACAGGAAGCCAGAGACTATTTTGTGGAGTGAGTCATTTCTGGTGTTGATAAGGTTCAGTGGGAGGATGAGCTTTCAGTCAGAAGCCTGGATCTTAAACAGAGAATATTCTTTGCTTAAGGCATTGTGCATAATAAACTTTGCTGTGTAAAACAGCATTTCTTTCAATATGTGTGGCCTTTATCATTGTGTTAAAAGTACTTTGATTCACGAACCTTTACCAGGTTAAGATATTCTCACAAGAATACAGCCTTTTTATGCAGACTTTGTTCGAAACCTTTAACATACTGGCTCATGATCTAAGTTTTAAGTAGGAAGGCTAGCTTCCGCCACAACACATAGTTACATATCTACCTATGTAGCGGAATGGTTACATTGGAGAATGACTCATTTAGAGTTGTATAACTTTGGACTCCTAAGGCTAGTTGTTAGTCTGAGTCCTTTGCTTGTGTCTCACAATTCTAGCGGTCGAACCTTGTTATATTTTGGGCAGCGCTTTGCAGTCAAACACATATTAGCCTTTGAATAAGTTCCAGCCCTGACGTCAGGAGGTATGCATTAAATCTGAAAGTTCTATTTAACCTCCAGAATCAATCATAGATAGATCATAAAATATCAATATGAATACCTGGTGAATAAATGAGGCTTTGGTACGCTAACAGTGATAAAGGAGGGGATGTTCTCCATTGCTAGGCCACCAAGATATTAAACCCTATGTGATTAGGTAGCTACTCAGAGAGATGTGCAGAAGGACACTGGGAGGAGTGTGCTCTTGCACAATGAGAAATATCGGGACATCCTTTCCACACATATGACAACTTGGAGGTAGCCGTAGCTGCTTGCCTAGGTACCTTACCTTACCTGGGTAGGTAGCCTACACTACCGTGTACTTGAGGCAGGTACGACATAACTGGTTTATCGTTGCAATCCCAGGATAGAATGTAGTTCTGTTTCATCATCATCAACATTGGCATCGGCAGTTTCGTTTCTTGGTTTTCATTATCGAATTAATTATTTGATAATTATAGTTATCTCTTTATCGATAGTCTATTGATAATACCACCATGAACGCCTCCGAAAGAGCCCACCTGGCTGCCATGGGGCTACTACCCCCCAGCACTCCTGCACCCGCCCCCCCTGTCCCTCTCCGAAGGGCGATCCTCGACCGAGCCAGTCCCTGTTTCGGAAGTGCAGTGTTTCTGGGATGAACAATGGCAGAATGAAAGTGGCAGAAAAGATGACGATCTCAGCCAGTACCAACAGGGTCCAAAAATGTCCTTTCTCCATCAATGGGGCGCTGATAACAGGGCCGAAGAAACCTGAGAACAGAACCCAGCGGATTGGAGCGAATTGCCAGTAGCATATAGCCATGACCCAAGCAAGTGAAGCAAAAATGCCGGTGCCACTGAAAATCAGCACTCGTCTCCGGCCGATGCGATCCGCCAAGAGACCATAGGGTACAGTTCATAATAAGCCTGGTATTAGAGGCACCAGCTGCTGGAAGCCACGCACAAGCGCAAGCTCCTTCTGCACAGGCTGGATCTGACAGCGATCATGCTCGGGGACGTCTAAAGAATGTGCCTTGTAATAATCGTCGCAGATGGCAGACTCGTAGATCTGAATGAGTGCGGCGGGCTGGAGTCCATCGCCAAGCATCAATGTGAAAGCAAAGGCGCACAGGAGCTGGACGATGTGACGTTTTCGCTGCGGTGATATGTTGGTTGTCTCCACTTCGCTTCCGAGAAGAGGAGAAGCTTCATGACGATTCTCGACGTCTTGTATTCGTACCGTGGCCATTGAGTTATTCCTGCGATGCGTTAGAGGATACGAACAAAGACAACAGCTTGTGTGCGCGTGTACAAACCCACGCGGTTTGTGTAAGAGCTTTGTAGGTCCGAAATGGCCATGACAAGCTGACCTGCCTAAGCTCGTTTGGGGAGTTTGAGGGGAGGAAGAGTATGATTTAACAAAAAATTGTAATTTGGGTCAGGGCATCCAGCATTTTCTAAGCAACCTAAGCGTTAGATAGATAATAAAACAAAAGGATTGACTTTGTGATGGAAGTAATCTTGGTGTAAGCCACTTGAACTGCCTTCAGAGGGTAGTGCGCCTAAAATTCGGGCACGCTTCACCACTTTCCAGTGCTGCTCGCCGCTTGCGGCCCAGCAAGCATTGTACTTGTCCAGCATGTTACAGTGGGCCTTGGCCGCTGAGGAAACCAAGGTAATAGCATTTAATATTGAGGTGAGCGTGCCCTCGCTTTTACACGGTAGGAAATAGCTTTGAGCAATTAGAAGAAGGAGGCAATAAAGGCGAAAGAGAAAAAGAAAGAGAAAAACAAGTTTAGCTTGTATGTCAACGAGTGGGAAGGCTGTTTGGCCGGTATCTAAGGTTCATCCATTTCCCACTGATTCGTTCTTCATGGTGGTCAGCATTGCCAGCTTTTGCCCTCAACCATAACACTCACTGATTAAGAGTATGGCTACCACCATGGCGTGGTATTCGACAAAGGGCACCTCTAGTTCGATAATATCTACACAATTTACTACGAACAGTACCGTAAAGAAGACGGCCTTGCTGGTATGAAGCCATTGGCGGGGTCAGATCAGCATGCATGCTTGGGTAAAATACCGCCTGATCCCGGTACTCTCTTACGAATGATCGCTGAGTATATCTTACAGTGATCTACCTCCACGGAGGTCCTGCTGGTCCTACAGTCCTCGAGAACAAGAAGTTCTTTAATCCTGCCGTGTATCGTGTCTTCCTTTGGGACCAGCGAGGCGTTGGATGATCACGCCCAATGAACGAACTGCTACAGACCATGATCCAGCACCTCTCCAACGATATTGAGAAGCTTCGACAGCACTTTTGACCCTCCGAATGGCATACGGTATTGGCGGATCTTGGGGCAGCCGATTGGATCTGTTTTACACTCAGGCTCATCCTGGGCGTGTTGGCTTCCTTGTTGTTTCTGGCGTCTCGAGAGCACGCAAGTCGCAGCTCAACTCTTCCCAGAAAATCGGCGTGCTTTTCTGGAGTCGTTGTTTGATGATGTGAGAAAGGACCCAATGAGGTTTCATCACGCCTGTATTACTTCCCCGGTCCCAAATATCTCAGCTGCCGCGGCACATCAGTGGAACAGATGGGAGTAATCGGTCTCCAATTTTAATCTCAGCCCTAGCGTTCCCGCAAAGCCCGAGGATGGAACCTCGCGCATGCAATATTTGAGACTCACTACCTATTTCATAAGAGTTTTGGCTCGAGGAAGGGCAACTGCTGAATCACAATAGTACTGCCAAGATGAAACAAATTACAGGTACTAGTCTCGTCTTTTTGTCTTCATACATCTTATTGATGAACAGCAGGTGCAATTGTCCAACGGCGCTACTATACCTCTGTCCACCTGTGACAGCTTGGGAACTATATCAGGCAAGGATGATATCCTCTCCACATAGGAGCACTGGCGCAGAGCATTCTGATAATGTAGCTCGACAATCTGACAAGCCAGAACTCATTCCGCCCTGCTAGTACATTGAACTAGGAAGCGGGCATGCTGGCGAAGTTTGTCCAGATATGCCATAAGCTGGCAAAACTGTGAACTGCATAATTAAGACTGCCGCGTTGGAGGAGAAGACTTTCTACAAGACCAGGTTTATTAAAGCTAATTATAAATGAATGCCAAAAGCATGTCTAACAAGAGAAACGTATAAGCTTCCAGAACATAACTAAAAATGAGGAAATAGCTGCAACCACTGAAAGGTGACGAAAACACCAACAGGGCAGTAACGCAAACTTGCAAAAGCCTCGGCGACAATGAAGAGCCTCGAGAGAATATAGACGATACCCAAAACCCATAGTAGGCATACACAAAAGAACTTGGCCATCTTCTTCATGCTTTTCTTGAGAGATTCCGGTGCTTTCCGTGCAAGGTCGAGAACACGTGAGTTGAGAAGCGTGCTGAACCAGACAAAGGAAGAAATGACAAAGTAGCAAGGCAGTGCACCTATAATAACAAAGCAGCTGAGCTTCCACAGTATTTCCTCTTCTCGGGTAGGAAACACCCAGGTCCATGCTACTAAGTGAACACCGCCAAAAATCGTGGAAAAGACCGTGGCAAGGAAGGATACCTTCCAATACTTCCAGAACCTCCATACAGGCTTATATGTTTCAAAGAAACCCCGTGCTTCAAATTGAGGAGCAATATCTTGAGTGAAAAGGCTCTTGCCCTCCCAAAAGTCCCTTTCGCAATCGAGCTTCGGCACGTGTCTGAATTCCTCGAGGCATATAAGGAGAAGGACGGGCTTGTTGTTTTCTCCAAAGGGTGGTATACTTGGTGTGAAATGATCTCTTGGTATTTCAGGCGGGTTCTCTCTTTGTTCATCGGGAAACTTTGACAAAATATCGTGCCATCTCGCGAGGAACTGAGATGTAATTAAGAAAGAAAACTCCAGCCATTCAGATTCTGAGCAGAGTTCCTGCCTCAAGGTGCCGTGTGGGAAGGATTTGTAGGTGGCCTCCCTCATATCTGCCCTATATAAAGCTAGCCCAGAAGTTAGAATATCACCCACCCTCATTTCTCCTGTCGCTACCGGATGGATCCATCGCATGTGTCTCCCTTTCGTGTCAAGCGGGGCTAACTGTTCATGTGACTTCATCGAAGGAAAGATTGCTAGCCTATATGACATCCTGCTATAGAATTGTTTCTGGAGCATGATGGCCACTTCGGCTTTAAAGTCTCGTGGCTGAATAACGATTGGCTCCTGAATGTCGAGGGGTTTCTACTAATTCGTTAGCTACTCATATTATGATTGAAAGTTTGGAGGCAATGCGAACTTGGAACCACAGAGCATACAGAAAGAGAGCGCAAATAACATGGATCACGGTATGGTATTCCAGTATAGTAAATGGAAGCAAAGATCCCCACCTCACGAAAGATTGCATGAGCATCCAGAGGACTTGAATAAGAACAAGAACCTTCTGAATTGTATTGGCCTTACTCTTGTCATCAATCTCTTCCTCTCGGATTTTGATCCAATGACCCTTGTTGGCGAGCGCGATAATAGCAGGGGGGCCAGGGCGAACAGTGTTGAGATGAGCATCGGGGTCTTTGAAAAGCTTTTGAGCGTAAGGGTCCATATCCGGAAGAGAGAGGATGTCGTTGACGTCTAAACGTAGTCCTCCCATGACAATAAAGTAGGCGTATTTTAAGGTAATCTTGAACTAATTTCTGTTAATGGTTAACCCTTTAAATGCAACACACGAGGTTCCTTACATCAGCTTCTGCACTCCATTTAGATGACTTCTGTTGTTTCTGGAGATATTTAAGATTACACATGAGACCGAAGGCATGGAAAAATTGAAGAGCAGCGGTCGCCATGGTAATTTCTGGGGCCAAGAGAGTTATCAAGACCCATTTGGTCTTCTCTAACAGAAGTCGTTGCCATGTAGGCTTAGAGAGTACGTCGAGAGGGCCGTATAGATACAGGCGATGAGGGTTAAGATGCAACTTTCAAGAATATCAAACGTGCCCCTGACATTGGGAGTACCGACCCATGGTGGAGCAAAGGTTGACCACAGTTGATCTGTTACATTGTAGGTAATGATAGAAACATTCCACGGCAGGGTAGTTGCTGACGAGTTGAGGTCTCCCATACTGACTTCGTTGAGAAAGAGACAAATCAGGAGAAAACATGCTGCATTTTCCAGGGCACCCATATTCGGAGTGAAAATCTCAATACTGCTTTATAACTATATGAGCTTCAACCTTCAATTTACTATGGCTATGTCTAGGCAGCCAATAAGAGAACGGTATTTACCGCCCTATATTTAGTCGACCAGTATGACGAACCTCCAGAAACCACCGAGTTTTCCCCGCATCGTAACATACTTGAAAATACAAAGAGGCTGGAGGCAGAATACCAATTCTATGTACAACAGCCCCTTAGTATTCGTGTTCCTACCGACTCTCAGAGAATGGCTTCGAATTCGCCCGTTGTCGAGTCAGGTCCCGAATCTTCAATTACCCCTCACCTCGACCTCGTCAACGGCCAAATTCCATACCGTGACGCCGTTGTGTCATGGAAACTTCCTAAAGTTATACTTTTAGGCGAAGAACGTCACATCGACAGTTTCGGATTCGATTGCGTGACACATGTTGTACTTCAGTGAGTCCTTTTGTCTGTACACCAAGAAGATTCGTGCAACTGATCGACTGAGAAGACTAGAGGGTGGCAGAAAGCTTCAGACCAAAGTCCTAAGTGACAAAAAAGACTTAGACAATATTACGATACCTTAGGGCAGCTTATGATGAACTTAGCTTGCTCTTTGAGCGGTTTATTTTCTCACTTTAATGTAAGGTCTTAAGTCTTCTGACGCCCAGGGGAATAGTATCAGACGCTCGACAACGACAAGTGTTTTCTCAGATTAGCATTCAGCATGACTATGACTATCCTTTCCCTTTCTGGCACTTTCTTGGCAAGATGATCTCCCAGGCGATGTTCGAAAATGATACTTCGCTTGAGATATTGAGTTTTACAAGGGTGATCGACCGCGAACTCGTTGGGTTTGAGAACAAGAACTATTCGAAAAACAGTAACGGCGCAGACATTAATTTAATTGAAGTGAGTATCAAAATACCACGGCCTAATGAGCCTATGGAGATCTTTTGGAGGCCTGCTAGGGGCATTATCATCCAGAGGCTTCGAGAATGTAAGGATCGTGAGGTTACACTTCGGGACTTTGAGGCTGAGATGAAACACAGGGTTACAGGAACCCCTTTCGGCCCCTTGACGGGTTCCTTTGGTCGGTGCTCGACGGGTAGATAGCGTCTCTTGTTCCACGGGACCAACTCAGCCAGCGCCTTCGGATCTTCAACGAATGCTACTATGTCTGAGCCCTGTCGACCAACTGCCCTTGTGATGAGTTGGAGTTCGAGTCATCTTTCAGCCTAGCAAATATCAAAATGGCCATTTTCGTATCTTCTACATGTTAATCAGAATCCAATTTGTTCTCGCTAAGCGTTGGTTCTGCAACGAACTGCATTAGAACCCTCAGCTAGCATTTAGTATGCCGATCTTTACCAAATTTACAAATGAAGAAAGGTTAATTCCTGGATCTTCATTGCGCCGGCTGGCAACCTGTTTTCATCACTCACATGATTCAGTTCCATCTTCATTTAGTAATTGTGGCGTCAAGCTTTCCTAGCCTCCCCGGCAGTGACATCCCAACGACATGGGTTGTGGGCTGGAAAATAAGGCAGCGAATTTCCGCCCAATGGCTACAGAAGCCCAATCATCAATGCCTCATTGACGAGTGCTGAAGTGACCAGTTGGACCAAAAGTGAGGTCTTCTCAAGGGTCTTGGCTGGCTGCTGTACGCGTTTATCAACTCACTGGGTATGTCCAAACTTCAAGGCCTGCATCTTAAACAGAGAATGTCTTTCCAGATAAGATAGAACTCTGGTAGTGCTATTGGGTGCGTCTTGTATCTCTGGCTTGCAATTTCTCCTCTGAGCTTCACTTTGAAGTAAATCTATCCCCTTCTCCATCTCATCAAGAGATCTTCTGCACAAGCTAAGAACTCGAGATAGGTAAACACCAACGAAGTGATTACCCTTATCTTGATAGCCCATCCGAACCAACCGGCAATGGCTGTTTCATAAAGAACCTTAAAGTCGACCCAATTGATCTGTAGCTTCGGACATGAATAACTGCCAAGCACGGCCAAGGCAACCCACACGTCGATTATGACTCGGACCCTCTTTCATATGCCGTTAGGGGTTCAATATACCAAAACCACGCTAGCATTACTCGACAGCTGTTTACGTACAGCAATTTAAACTTTCGGCATTTTCGCTGGCGTACGAACTGATTACACTTCTCGTTTCAGTAAGGCTGCATGCTTCCTACAAACCCCCCGTCAGAGAACAGACAGTGTAAGATCTCATCAGTGGCGTACGGGAAGTCAGCATTCTATCGGATATTCCCAGCTGCAGAGATTCCCAGCAGATCAATAAGCCAAGATCCTCCCTAACGGCTCATCAATCCACAGCGAACCTTACCCGGAGGATTCCCCTTGTTTGTGTTTTTCCTTCTCTTCGGGGATGTAACCCCTACGCTGAGGACATGACACAGGACTTGTTACGACGTCAGGGACTGGCATATGACGAATGAGAGGTGCCGGAGGGATATCATCCTACCTGGGCATAATGTCGATCGACAGGGTTCCCCGGAGACGGTCTGTGAGATCTACAGTCTAAATACGACGTCGTCTGTTTTTAGCCTGGTCTTGCTGCTGTTGGTCTTGAGTTAGTGCACTGACAGTTCGAGAAAAATTAGTAGTAATACCTTTTCCCCTGTTTCTTCGTCTTTGTAGTGCTGTAGATCCTATTTCTTAGCTTCTTCCTCATTACAGCTCGTGCGTTGATTGTCTCCCCAATTCATTCATATAGATATCAGCCCTGCGGGACTTTTCTTCTTCGTTTATCTCTTCTCCATTTACCAGCGACCGGGTAATTGGGCAGACCCATCGATACTGATACATGTCTCAGTATCCTTCTACTTAGCCTTCTTCTTCCAGTCTGACTCTTGCATTCATTCACCGACAATGGCCGCCGCAACACACTACACGCCCGATGCTGGGGTGATGAGCTCTCAAATCATCACCTATTCTGTCGCCACAACTCTCCTGGTTTGTCGTCTGATATCTCGAAGGCTTACACAGGTGGCATTGTGGTGGGATGACTTTTTCGCAATGCTCTCCTGGGTGAGTTGTACTTGTCCCTCCGACGGCATCCACTTACTGATTTTTTTTCTCCCAAGATCTCTGCTTCTCTCTACTTTGGCTTCACGATTTACTGTACGTTTATGAGCATCTTTATCACTTATCAATCTCCATCAAGGCAGTCAAGTCACAGCATGCTAACCTCTCTCCAGGGGCTGTGAAAATGGGTTTAGGTCATGTGAAAGCAGACGTTCCTCTACCAGCAGAACGGGTCGAGGAGTACGCTCGATTCGGTCTATTTATTGCCGAGTTTACCTACGCAATGTCTCTTGGCTTCTCTAAGCTTGCTATCCTCGGCTTCTACTGGCGCCTGTTCAGTGTCTCCAACATCCGAATGGGAATCCGCATCCTTCAAGGATGCACTGTGATCTGGCTTACCATCCGAACCTTCATGACTATCTTCCACTGTATACCTGTCGAAGCATACTGGAACCACAATATCAAGAACGCTGTATGCAATATCGACCCTGCTAAGTTCATGTTTGGCACTACTCTGGTTCACCTTATGCTTGAGATTGCTGTTTTGTCGTTGCCTGTATTTCAGGTTAAGAACCTTAAGCTTCGCACAGGCCAGAAGTTTGCTGTTGTTGCTTTATTCATGTTTGGTATCTTGTAAGTGTTCATCATCTTTGCCCAACTATTTCTCGTTATCTTGGGTCTGCAGACAACTAACTTCGTTTTCCTTGTAGTGTTTGTATAGCATCGATTATCGTGCTTATTGAAGCTATCAACCTAAACCCTAAAACGACTGAAATGGCGAGGGATATCAGAGGAGTCATCATCTGGGCTGGCACAGAAGCTTACCTGGCAATCATCTCTTGTAAGTCACATATAACCCTGGCCAAGTATTATGATTGTCTTCAATACTAATATTTCCTCAACAGCTTGTCTCCCCATCATCCGACCTATCTTCCGCAAGTTCATCTCAAGCTCAATACTTTCCTCCAAATCAAACTCAACTGGCCCCAATCCTATCAGCGGCTTAACTAGCAGCCGGGGCATCAAGCTTGCCAACGTTACTCGCACAAAAGAAATCGACGACAATAGTTCACAGCGGCAACTTGCCGAGCTTGAGGACGGATCATCTGGCGATATAGACTTTCATGGCTACCCAGAACGCGTCGCCAATCACAACACTATCATCACTAGCTGCGCCGATGAGAGACCTAACAGCCACGCGCACAATCCGAGTGTGCAAGGCATTCAAGTCAAGAATGAGACTAGAGTATACTATGAGTAAGTGGTTCTTAGAGCAGTTTGATTGGATATTTCTTTTGCGTTAGGGGAGTAAAGGAAGCCTCTTCCGGCTATCATAGCAATATGGCAATGTATGATATGAAGTATAATGATAGATACCAAACTTCGAACATATTGATACACAGTGTCTTTCTATTAGCATGGAGTATCATACTAGCTTGTGTGAATGAATATAGCTGGCGGGTTCTCACTTGTCAATCAGGAACTTCCCGAAAATACTTAGTGAAAAAAGTCAAAGTCTCGGCGGGTGCAACGCCGCCAATGAATGAAAAGATTCAACGAGCTTCGCAAGAACTCAGTCGCCGCCATAGAGCCAGACACTCGTTCCATAGGTGCGCCAATGGAGAACTTGTTTTCTTTGATAATTAGGCCATATCTTGTGGTCAAGGCAGTGATGATGACTCGCCAAAACTTCCAAGAATCCTTTGTTCAGAGTCAAACCCAACAACAAATATTCACATACACTTGTCGCTCTGGGCAAACGTGAATATGTAACGACCGAGCGTCCATGAATATGGATGGATCATCAATTGCCCTTTTAAGCCCTCTGCGTGTAATGGCTTTTGTCAAGCTGACTTGAGGTCTTCTTCTCTCGACCTTCAGACCCGTGACGTCAACCTATCACGTGAAATCTCATTCCCAAACGCGACCGCTTACGTATCGATATCTTCAGCAACCTAACCATAGCGATTCCCAAACTCAAAATGGAGTGTCTCTCAACTGAACTCCTCTCCATGATCGCTGCCGAAGCTGCAGCATCCGGACCACAAATTGACATCAACAAAGTCTTTGATGTCTGGAACTCTGACGACACGTTGAAAGTTCCCCGAACATTATCACGAGATAATTCCCTTGCTCCATTCGCCACTGTTTCACGCAATTGGCAACTCGCTTTTGAACCCTTTACTTTTCACACACTTGTCATCTCGCCGAAGAGGCTAGTCGAGGCGGTACAATACGGGTATCTCACTGAACGACGGCTGGGGTATGTCCGCTTTATTGCAGTTCCTATCACCTTTCCGCTTCCGCGGCCGTGGGATACTCCCATTGTATTCCCTCCTGAACTAGATGCAAGAAAGGAATTTGTGAGAGCTAGAGATGATACCGACGATGTTTCATCTGAGGATGAGGTGGACGAAAATGACGAAGGCGACGTTGATGACGATGACGGTGACTATATTTCTAACGTAATCGACTTCCCACATCCAAAAGACAGAGGCTACGATAAAACCTTCGCCAAAATCATAAGAATTCTCTTCAACGCCCTCAAATTGGCTCCTGTCCACGAGAATAAACGACCATACATCAACATACGCCTCGGTTTCCCAGTCCCCCAGGAATACGGATTGAGCCGCATTTCCAGCCCTGAAGAAATGGAAGCAAATACCCTAGAGGGGCCTTGGCTTACAACTGCCTATCTTGATCTGGACCAACAAAACGAAGAGCTACCAGAGTTACCGGCGATAGCTTCATGCAGTTTTGAATTCGTATCATGGAGCTTATGCTTCGAACCTCACACGGCATGCACCATTGCAAGCAAGATGCCATGTCTAAAGAAACTCAAAATTCATCTTAGTGATAGGGAGTGGAAAGATCAGTGTCTCAGAAATGTGCTGAGAAAGAGTAAGTTCTCAATGGGCTATATACCTGAGTCGCTGACAGTTCGGTAGAGCTCGCAAGTTCGCTGTCTATCTTGCCACACAGCATCTGCGATTTCGATTTTCATTATTCACGAGGTATACCCCGGGATCACTCACACATGCCCACGAGTATACTAGATCCAGAAGAAAACTGCGATCACCTTAGCCAAGCGCTCTTCAACTTCTCGCAGCGAGAGAGCATCATCCGATTCTCAGCAAAGGGAAGCTTCGAATTGAGCATAATGGGGCCACCACCAGAAGCTCTATCTACCAGTCCCGGCTGTTCCAAACTCGAATACTACGAGATCGGCTTTCTTGCAATATCCCCCGCGGGAAAGTGGCTCGCGGTACCCTATAAGGACGATCCGAACGCTGACATTTTCAAAACTAAACGATGGGGTGCACCGAGTGAGCGGTCGCGAGGTTATTTCTCAAGTTTCAACGTCAATGAATTCAGAGGTCCAATTGATCCAGACTACGCACATGAACTACTCTGTGCTGCAGGACAGGCAGCTTCTCACATGCCCCGGTTACAACGAATGGGTATCAATGTTGGTGTAATCGGGGGATACAGAGTCTCTTACACCAGCGCCAAAGTTGAGCCTTGTATCAGAATTGTCGGAAAGAAGTTTCAGCCACCGATGGAAGACATGCTTCGAGTTTGGCGTCGCGTAGCACATGAGCATGGCCAGAAATTCGTCCTTCGATGGAAGGATACAGCCAGGATAAAGACAAGAAAGGAAACATTCGAATAATTTGGTCATGAGACTTTTGTATTAAGATCATAGATGATATATGAGAATCAATGGGTATCAATGTTGCTGGTCGGGTCCCGTGTTTCCCCCTACTAAATAAACCGTCCTTTATCCTGAACTCCTCCCAATGATATGATGTACTGCAAATGAGTTACTTGTGGTCAATTCGAGGTCGCTCTGCGCCTCTTTGGTTGAAGCGGCGTTATCCTCGTAAATAAAATGGTTGGTCTTCAGACCATATTTTAGCCAAGTTGTCGTGTCAGAAGACGCGCTGTCAACCCAACTCAAGCGCCCTATGACGAATGGCGAGATGAGTAAAATGGCACGAGTAAAGTTATTTATTGCCGTGGTGGCTTTGTGGCGCTGTTAGCTTACGGGAGCATCAATGTCGGGTGATGGCTTCGGCATTTGCAGTTGGGGAACTCGTAACAGCGGTGAGGGTAGTGCTTCAGTGGCTGTTTGAGGAGCTTAGGGAGGCGTTGTAGTTATGAATTATGCTTTTGACGTGTGATGAATTATCCTGCGATGCGTTAGAATTGAAGGGCGAGATAAGAGGAGGGTACTGACAGTAGTCGAGGAAGTGAAGAGGGCTGGCCTTTTGGTGACGACCTCCCGACTGTGATGAGGCATTGGTAGTGTACTTTTGTACGTGGTTCATTTGAATGGGAACGTCGCTCCCTGTTCGCGTAGAGGAATTTCGTTCGATCGATTGACATTCGAGCTGTGAAGGGTCTTGTGGTGGGGTTTCGGGATCGCCGGCGATGTGCATGCAATTGCAATCGCTGTGCTGCACGAGTAACAGCAATTTATTCAGCACCACGAACTCCATCTTGAGTTTTATGCTGTACACGACGGGTTTGTAGGTTGTTTGGATGTTGAAGTGGCTCATGTACTGCGTGAGGATGAGGCTGATGTCGAGGAGGATGACGAGGATGTTGACGATGATGAGGTACCGCATAATCTTGCGCTCCATTTTCTTTCGCACGGCGAAGATCGGTTTAAGGCCCCGCGATGTTTCCCAGATGTAGAGACCTGAGATGATTGTTTCTTGGATGCAGAAGCCGGCGAGTTGAAGGCGTTCGTAGATATTGAAGGCGCCGATGAAGTGGCTCGAGTGTTTGGTGTTGCTTCCGAGGAAGAGGACCGTCGTCGGAACATGTAGTATGAAGAAGTTGATGATGATCATGTATAACACCCATCGCGTCTTCGACTTATCCTCAACGATGAGATGTAGTCGGGAATACAGCACGACAGATTGACCGGTGACCATTCCATACCAGCCCACGCACGTCAAAACGCAGAGCAAGAAATTCGGCCCCAAGCTGTAGTACCTCAACACGACAACAATGCTGTGCAGCAGAATCCCCAGCGTCGCTACCACCATACTCCAGAAATAAAGACCATCGTGCCGTTTGAAGCGATTCAGTAGCGAGATGAGGATCTCGAGACAGTTGTAGCACGCTATGGCGAAGAGGCCCGCGATGGTCATGTTGACCGGCAACGACACGGCAATTGGCCCCGTCTGGCCTGCCTCCCCAGACTCAGCGGCCATGATTTCGGCGGTTCCGGCGGACGTACGACGGTCATTAAGGAAAAGTAAATTGACGATGGTGAGGGTGCATCGTGAGAGTTGACAGCTCTTGGCAAAGGGAGAAAGGAAAAGAGCTTGGGTGCTACGTTGATATGGATGGTTCCCCGTAGATCTGGCGCGTCATCTTGTGGCCGCTCTTAATTCATTATACGAATAGCCGGTTCAGTTAATCGTCATCAGCTCCCCCCTGCATGGGGCATGGGGGAAGCAACCGGACCCAAAATTGATGCTTCAAGGATGTAACCGCTAAAGCTCAAACGTAAGCCTGGACATGATTCAAGGCCGCAGACGTTATTGTTAGCCCAGTCATTCATGTCTCAGCCATCAAACATGTGCTCGTGGATTGAGTTAAAAAGAAGAACGAGCATGGTTGGTAATAAACGAAGAACGAGCATAAAACTCGGTCAGTCCCAAGCCTCAACTGCCAATTGACATGGGGTGATTTGCCAATGAAACAAGACACGGACACCGATCCGTTGGGCCGGTAAAAGTTTAACCAAGGGTTAATGAGGGTTTTATCGACGCGCCAACCGCGTTGGGTAAAAGAACTCCCTGAACCCAAGAACTATCTTAATATAACATTTGTCCACGGCTTCGTGAAGTATGTGAGCTGTCAAGTTGTGACATTCTACCATCCATTTCAAGCCTGGAAGCTGGGAGAGGTCATCAGGAGAAATGCTGCAAGGATGAATGGCAAGGGGACCATTATTTAGAGTTTACATGCAAAACCACGAAATATCCTTGAGTGACAGTCACAGCCTGCAAACGTCGACACTACTTCTACTTCACCAGTAATTAACGTCTCAAATGTCAGGCGTAGAGCTTAAACAGTCAGATAAATGTCGCAGTCAATCGCCTCGAGTTCAACAGTAAAAAGTGATAGTCATGACGCAAGAGTCAAGGTGAATGACTCGCAATATGCATGTTTTAAGCGTAGGTCACAGCGCAGCGCCCGTAGCTGAAACCCTCGGGAAATTCCATGCCCGCCAGTGATCGAGATGCAGTGCCCATCAATGCGACGTCAATTTTATGCTCTCGTTATTGTGTGATTGCTCAATGGTAAGTGTTGTCTCAATTGGGACTTCATCACAAAACGCCTCTCAGCACTTGCAAGGGTAAGTACCGAGTTCCGTCTAACGGAACGGAACTACCGAGGCCAAGACTGTTTGTTTCTTCAATGCAGATTGAGGCAATTATCCCGCTTTTGCTTACAGATACATACACAATGAAAATTTAAACTTTTACGTTAGGACAACTTGTCAGATTTCAGCGCCGCTTTCTCAGTGCCTAAGCCCGCAGACCAAACCAGACCAGTTCAGCTCAGCCCCGCCCCCTGTTACAGTCAAAGCAACAAACAGCCTAACAATCTCCATCCGTGAGCTATTGCCCTCCGCCTCAAATTAGAGCCACAATATACGAAATCCGCGTCAATCAAATCACCTGCCTGACAGCTCATGTGTAGCACATCTGCAAGGGACGATATCGCTTTCCCCATTCAGTATCGTTCGTTTCTATGATCGTCCCGGGCGCGAATCTCACGGGTGATGCATCCGGGGCGAGCCTTGGGCACCAAGTGGTCTTGGAGCTGAGGGGAATTAGTGGCAAACTTTAAGCATACTGTAGATTGCTTATGCCAAGTTTAGTAACACCGAGATTTTACATGGTCTCTGATCGACTTGGATCCTTGTAATGACAGCTGTTTCGGGGCTCACGATACTTGGCGCTGCATGTTTTCTATGATATGTCCGTCGCTCTGTTCCCAGGGAAACTTGTGCTCCAATGACCGGATTAACTTCTCGTGGTGTGGAGATCTTGGCGTAATAACAGCTTTGAACGGCTCGGGGTGGCTGACCATCCCAGGTGTGAATAGGAGTTCAGGTTGGGCACCATTTTTGTCCTTTCTGATGTGCAATACAGCGAGAGACTGTGCGATGCTGAGGAATAATGCATTGTCAGCCAAGACACGCCCCGGGCATACGCGGCGCCCGAAGCCGAATGTGTACGTGTGCGGATCTTGTTCAGGCTGACTTCCATCGGTTGACAAGAACCGCTCCGGGTTGAAGCTCATTGGTTCGTGGTGGACCTCAGGGTCATGGGCAAAGTACCTATACACTGTTAAATCAAGAACAAATCCTGACATGAAGTACTTACCAGATATTTGGCATGATCAGGGCGTCTTTGGGGATAAAGTATCCTTCAAACACATCATCAACGGTGCTCGTATGAGGTAGGCCCATGGGAGCAACTGGGTGCCAACGAAGAATCTCTTTGACCATGGCGTCGATATAAGGTAGGCTTGATCGATCTGAACAATTTGGCAGCCTCTCGTTGCCAACCACACGATCGATCTCCTCCTGAGCTTTCTGTTGGACATCGGGATATAATAGCATCGCTAGAAAGAATAGAGAGATGGAAGATACAGTCTGATGTTGTTAGGGGGCTTCGATCCAAGGATGGTCAGGAACATACCGTGTCAGCCCCCGCAGCGTAAAGTGACAAAGCAGACCACTTAGTCGTAAACCTCGCTTCCTCAGTCGAATCGCCCGCTTCGAGAAGTCGTGAGACAAATGAGTTATCCTGCTTCCCCGAGGCATGTTGGTGCTTGACAAAAGCATAAGGCTTTTCAGTAAGATCGTTCAGCTCTGAAGACCATTTCTTGGCAAGTCTCTTGAAGTTCGCGCCTGGAACCCAGGCTGGTACGTATCGTACTGGGGGCCGTCAATGGTTTACACAGGCAGGGGTTTTGTCGAGGTAGCTTACAAAGAGGCAGGATATCAACTAGAAATGCACCCGGCACACCAGCGGCTGTTACATCATCCATGGCCTGGCCCGCCATTTTGATAAGAATGTCTTCCTTGAACGGCTCAGCTGTATATCCGTAAGCGATCTTCAAGATCACTGAGCCCGCTTCCCTTGATTCATGTTAGCGTAGTCTTTCAGCTTCACTGAGATTTGAGCAAACCGACTTCCTTATATGATCCATGAACCTCTGTGGATCATCCAAGACATGCAATAAAAAATGAGCAACCTCGGCTTCTTGCAATTGATCGTACTTGGCAGCGGCTCTTTTGGATCCGATTATACGAGCCATGTTCTTCCGATGCGTTCTGAAGCGATCGTTGTATGGTGAGAATCCAAGTGAATTCTCCCAGCCAACCCTGTATGCATCAGACGTGGTATGCTATCACAGAGCAGCGGCGACTCACATTTCACCCACCATCATAATTTTGGGCCTGGAAGAATGCTTTGCTGATCTTTTGTCAAGCAGCTGTGATGCCAGTCTCCAGCTGTTTATGATGATGATTGCCTGTCCCATCACAGTGATAGAGCTGATGGGACCTGTTGAGTCCGAGTCAGTGTTATTTGGTCCTATAGTCCTGCTTCCTGGAGTTCTACCGTAACTGTCCTTGAACTTCAGCCAGTGATGCGCTTCAAACACGCCCGGCGGCGGAAGATCGTTCAGGTTTCCTACCAAAGGAAGGCCCTTCGGCCCCGGAGGAAGAGGGTGTCTCTTTGAGTCATCGCGAATCACTCCAACACATATATAAAGGAGAAATCCAAGGGCAAACCCCAAAAAGAAGGTTGATATCTCAAACATGGCCGCGATACTTCAACAAACGGTGACAAGGGCACAAAGGAACCAGCAGCAGGAAAGGTAAGATATATGTTTTACGTACATTCCTGTTCAACCAACACACATCAAATTGAGGGGCTACTCTCGAAGTCTGACAAGAATCTTATCACCATGCATATGCAGCCCGTTTCCTGCCGAATCATCGACTTTGTATTTCGCTGGTGATTCATCCGGCTAATATCTCCGTTCTCCAGACGAGTAATATACTCCACTGCTGAATGGAAAATCTCGCTTCTCTCGGAAGGTACCGCTCGCAAGTTGGTTCTTTATCGTCTGATGATGTTGGTTCAGCTCGTTTTCTCGGAGGGACATTGCCAAATTGGGAATTTGCTGCGGTGGTATGTTTACATTCGCGTAGTCATACCTGCATATGGGAATAATAAAACATGCTCAAATACAATAATTGCATACGTTATTAGCTCACTAGATAACGTTGCATCATAACTTGGCATGGGAAACGACGAGGCTAAGCAGAAATACCTGTCTCAATCCGTGTCTTGGCAACTTGCGGCAAGGTTGTTGAGCTGTTTGCCAAACCAATAATCGTTGAAATACTCAGAGAACCTCCACTCGACTTTTTGGCGGATATCTTCAATCCTTACCAAAACGCCAAGGTATGCTGCCTGTGCGCTTCACCACTCACGATTATGAGCGGGATAGTTATCCACTTTACGAGATCTGGGGCTTTATCCGAGTAGGCAGCTCCCATAAGCGCTAGGCGAAGTTGGTGGTAAAAACGCCTTATTTAAACCGCGAAGAGCTGTCAAAGTCAACGTGGCCTACCAAGTGTATTCTTTTTTCTCGATCGCCATGTCTTCACACCCAACACTAGATGCTCTTCCCAGTGAGATCCAGCTCCATATCTTTTCTCAGGTCACAGCTCATGACCTAAGCACCATTGCCCGTACGTCCAAGCGCCTCAACGAAATTGCAACACCGCTTCTCTGGAATGATATTGAACTCCATCAAGAGGGCTACCACGAGTCCAGGCACGAGCTTAAAGTCCCTCCTCCAGCACGGGATCCAGCGCGCCGGCCTTATCACTCAAAGCAGAAATGGGGAAATGGGCAAGGTGCGCGTATGAAGGCTGCTCAGTTCTTCGAAATACTGCAGACGATGCATAAAGAGAACCCAGATCGGCTGCAACAGATTGCCCAGCGTGTAAGACATTTTTGTACCGTGATTGATCCCTCTTGGAGGCCGGTGGATAAGGATAATGATTCCGTCGATACTGAGGCCATTCAAGTCTGGCATCTTTTACCGTATCTTTCCAACTTGGAGACCTTGGAACTATACGGAGACTACTACTATTCCCAAGAGGCCGAGGAGAAAGTTTCTAAAATTCTTGGATCTCCTCCAAAACTTCGGTTCCTCAAGCTCTCAGGGTACATGCCACCAGAAGTACCAGCATGGCTACTCAAAGCAGGAGATACTCTAGAGCGTTTGGAACTCGACATGTTGGACCGACCCATCTCAACATGCCTATCGAATGATCCCCATTTCACTCCTCTTCCATGTGAGAAGATAAATACGGATGATGGCGGTGTTCCTGGGTCAGACTACGGAAGTTTGGTAGACGATATGATCATCCCTCGGCCATTGGGGAACATTTTTACAAGCTATGGCGACTACAAATTGAAGTTACCAAAATTAAAGCACTTGTTCCTTGGTCAGCCAGCAGAATCATGCTACACCAACGATTTCGCAACATATAGTTGGTCAAAACGTGCCGAGTCAGCATGTTACGATGATTGGCTTTGGATCCTAGAAGCTTCTATGAAAACACTCGAGACTTTGGTTCTGGAGCAGAGACCAGCCGCTGATTATATCGAAGGTGACGGCTATAGCGAAGACATGTGGATGAACGAAAACACATGGTCTCATGCAAGTGAGATACTTCTCGAGATGGTTGAGACAGTCATATCTTCCGAGAAAGGCCAGGGGTCTTTAAAGCGGGTATATCTGTATGGTATAGTTGCTGGTTTAGAGGAGGATGGTACACCGTTTTTGGATTTCCCTGCAGGCAAGTTTATGCAGTTTTTGAAGGATCGTGGGGTTGCGTGTGAAGCGAGACGGGGAAAGTGGTGTTTCTTTGATAAACAGTCTGGAGCTGTGAATTGGTGCCCTTGGGATGCGGCGTATGAGTATGAAGAGGAGGAGGATGAGGATATGGACGAGAGTAAGGATGAAGATGCTGAACCAAAGGCGAAGTGGGATACTGTACTGGCGAAGGTTTGAAGACTGAAGGCTTACCATGTTTGATTTGAGCCAGATTTATTAATGGATTATTAATCATTTACCAAAATCCATTTCTTTCATAAGTTGCTAGCCAAGATTCACTTCCATCGGCCAGTTCTGAGCCAGTCCCGAGACATCTCGGTCTCTCCAACACAACGCCGTACCCACATTTATAAAAGATATTGCGTAATGATCAAGATCTCACAACCTCAAACATCAACATCAATCTTCACAATGTCCTCCTTCGCGGTAGTAAAAGACATCGACCATCTCGTCCTAACCTGCAATGACATCTCCGCGACTATAGAATGGTACACCAAATATCTCGGCATGAAATCCGAGACTTTCACATCCGCAACAGACCCCTCATCTCCACCTCGCAGCGCCTTAAAGTTCGGCACTCATAAGATCAATCTCCACCAGCGCGGTAAAGAGTTTGAGCCCAAGGCAAGAAATGCTTTGCCTGGTACTGCTGATTTGTGCTTTATCATTGAGGATGGGACGGACCTGCAGGTCTTGATTGAGGGGTTTGAGAAGGAGGGTATAAAGGTTTTGGAAGGGGGAAAGGTGGTTGGTAGAACGGGGGCTATGGGAGCGATTAAGAGCATTTATGTTCGTGATCCTGATGGGAATTTGATTGAGTAAGTCTAAAATCATGGTTTGGATCGCTATTTCTTTGGAACTCGCTGACCCATTACAGACTCTCCCAATACTCGACTTGAGGGTCATATTTGTTTTATAACAAAGTTGCCTTACATGTTGAATACTAGGCTTTTCCTTTCGTGCGTGGGATTCAAGCATACAAAAGCCGGAAATCGCCTATTCTCCGTTTGTTTATTCTATTTATGCCCATGATTGGATATCATCTCATCACGAGAATCAAAAAGCTTCATAGTCTTCGCCGAATAACAAGCTGAAGTCGCATCCTATAGGGCGGCCTTAGCTATCCAGAAAATCTCTAAACTATGACTAATCTTTACTACATCGGTATTTGCTTTCTCCGACTTTTGCGCAAATTTATAGTGGCCCAGGAGCAGTTGGATTTCAAACAAACTCTGCATGCCAAGGACATATCGTGGGTCGTTGCAAGTCCATAAGACTTCTGGCGCTGTTTCTTGTACTTATTCACCGACAAAGCCTCGGCAGCTGGCCTGGTGGGATCTTATGTTTGGAAGAATATCGAACTGTCTAACTTGGGAGCCTTAACCTATCGGTATTTCCTCTAAGCGACAGATACGTCAAGTTGCAAGTTGCTCGCCCTTTATCGCTGTTGATGCGTTGTGCATCATACCCTAGAGCTTACGTACAAACATATCAAAAGATTGGAGATGCACAATGTGCATTTCTCTCGTTCGTTAGCCTGTTTACAACGCATATCACTTCCAACAAAGTGGCTGGCTGAGCAGCTGCTCTCGAATCGGACGCAGTGGGACTTGACCCTCACCTTGACTCACGCAAGCTTCGCATGAATCTTGTCTCGGTAATCTCAGTTCCGACATCCAGTTTCTTGGTAGCAACCCGCGATGCAACTGTCGTCATGGCCAAGCCCTATTGAAACTGAAGGTAGTGTCCTCCTTTTCCGCTTATTATCGCAAGGAAAAGTGGGAGCGGCGTCTTCAGCGTGAGATCAGCAGGGACTATACCCAGATGATGAAAGAGCTTATCTCCCATTTCCCACTCCAGACCAACCAGACTCCCAGTCACGATCTACCAAGTGCCAATCAGCCAAGGGCACGTGGGGCAAATCTGGCTTCTGGTAGATCGCTGGAGGCCTACTGAACCTGCGGTCAGGGAGTGAAGAGGCATACAGAGTAGGAGTATGAGAAGACTTGGCATAGGTCGTAAGACCACGAGGTCAGTGGTTCATGTCTCTAGCCTGCCTTTAGGAATCCAAGAACCATTAGCCCGGTATCCAAAACGTCCTCCGTTCCCAGCTCTCCCTTCAACCGCATGCTGCTCTACCAAATCACAATAAAAAAAACACAAATCGCATAAGCAAAAGTTGTTGAGACTCCTGCAGTAGCGGCGATCGGATTTTGCAAAACAAGTCAAAGATCGTCGATTCCACTGGACCGAAATGTAGCAATTTCACCAGCACAAGTCAGTGATGCAGATCGAAACATAAAGGGAGGGGCTTGCTCTACTCAGTGAGGCTAAGATCGACACTACCGGTCTGCGTAAGGCTAGGAACCCGGTAGGTCCAGCTCTCCACAGTTGGACTAGACAAGATTTCCGAAAAATAGGGACTGTAAGGGGGAAATGAAGTAGAGGGTTGAGAAATGATGGCTGAGATGGGTTGTTTGATAGGAGATGATCGCACTTTATTGTCATTTGTGTGACGTCTAGTAGCGTCTTGTTCTGGTAGGAGGTTGCGATTAGATCTGATGATATTCAGAATTCAAAAACACATACAGCAAATATATCGAGTTCAGAAATCATACTGCTACCAAGGTTCAAAGTAACTTCTACCTCTCAATGACAATTCATATGTGGCAATAGCTCAGAGCCCCGTAAGGCGTGAATCTTACCTGAGTCTCAAGATGCCGCCTACTCCCTGGTTGGCACAACACCACACTAGCTATCGCGACTCCATTCTAACAGAGTGATCGACAAGACTACCAACTTCTAGTGACAACCTCAATCTCTTTTCCAAGATACTCCCTTACCAGAAACTAGTATATAAGGACCTCTTTTCACCACATTAAATCTATTCTCATTATCATCACATCATCTCAACTCTTCTCTACACCACACTCCTTTGAAAACATTCCTTTCAACTCTCTTCACAACCACATTCAAAATGAAGGCCACTTTCTTCTCCGTTTTCGCCCTCGCCATCTCGGCCATCGCCTCTCCTGTTCCTGAGGCTAAGAAGGACACCCGCTCTGTTGAGCAGGTCAACGGTGCTATTCACAGTGCTGAGAACATCGTTTCCAAGGTCGGCGTTAAGCAGATCGTCGATGAGGCTACCAAGTCTCCTGCTAAGCGTGCTGCTATCTCCAACCCTCAAGAGCTCATCACTGTTCTCAAGAGCGGTGTTAGCAACATCAACAAGAAGACCACTGGTCTGAGTAAGTTATAACTTCTGAATTTGATATTTGGGTTAGTGCTAATGGGTTTAGACTCTATTGCTGAGAAGGTCAAGGCTGGTGATCTCACCAAGGACGCTGGTGCCACCAAGGCCATTCCTGGCTTTGAGTCCGTTCACTTTGAGCTCACTGAGATCGTCACCAAGCTCACTGGTGCTGCTGGTCTCGATGTTGCCGACTCTGATGTCGACACTGTTCTCAACCTCGTCGTCGTCCTCGTCGCTGAGGTTCTCGCTGCTGTCAAGACCATCGTCACTGTTACTGGCCTCCGACCTCAGCTCATCTCTATCCTCCACTCTGTCTTCCAGATCCTCACCAAGGTTCTCATCCTTGTCATTGGCCTTGTCTCCGCCATTGTTCCTGGTCTGGTTGCCGGTCTTACTCCTCTCCTTGCTGGTCTCGGCAACGGTGTTTTGGCTCCAGTTCTTCTCCCCGTCACTGGCCTCCTTGCTGGCCTTGCTGCTTAAATGGCTTCCTTCTAGGTTCAACCACATTAAGTGCACTATGAGCATGTAGCTCTTCGGGTAGATGGAGAGCTACATCAGCTTAATTCATTATGATGGCATTTTACGGGGGAGGCATCTTGTGTTAATGTTTATGGCCAGTGGTCTTCTTTGTATATAATTACTCTTATCAACAAAAGTTCACGATATCAAACTGTCACGTCTGTCTCTGAGTGATGTATCACTAACCAATTTGCCTGTAAACACGATACACATATGACAATAATTCTTTTCTGATCTTATCTATACATCATCGCATTATTCTGAAAATACCAAAAAAGATATGTGTTTCCCCTTTAGATTTCTCATATCAGTTAGTGCTGATTGGCGTCTGTCATCGGGGTTCAGAATTTCCTGTTTACGCCCTGTAGCTGACAAAACCTACGTCACATCGAAATGGGGTAAAATGAGGCTGAAAAGGAAAGTCTTTGCATGGTAAAACTAACCTCAGTCTGTCTTGCGCCCTTCAATCGGCAATAGTCAGGTTGGTATAAAATCCTGAACACTTCGCAAGACAACATCACCACAACATTCTACGAACGACACTTGATATACCATGGCAGCATCACGATCAGTCTCAATCACTTATGTCCCTGCGGACTGTGGATCTATCATTCCAGGCAAATCCAAAGCGCCTCAAGCATTCAGAGATGTCGGTATAGTCGGCAAATTGAAAGATGCTGGAGTGCCTTCTGTCTCTGAGCATCATGCTTTGGAGGCACCAGCAACTTTCTCTGCTACGACGTTCAGCGCAGGCGGTGCACGCAATGAATACATCAACATCGCAGTCTGCGAAGACGTTGAGCGGACTATCAGCACCAACTTCAAGTCCTCAAGCAAACAACCTGATTTCCAGCTCATTCTCGGCGGCGAGTGCTGTATGCTGCCAGCTATTCTCTCTGCCTTCTGGAAACATGCCGGCTCGCAGTCTCCGCCTAAGCGCGTTGGTCTGATTTACATCGACGCTGATACTGATCTTACCTCTCCAACGGATCCAAGCTCTATTGGCACTTTCGCCGGGATGAACATGGCTCATCTCGTTCGACTACCCGGTGCACTCCAACGTATGGAACAGTTCTCTCGTCCATCAGGCGAACCTGTCTGTGATGCTTCGAATACAGTCTTCTTCGGCACGAACATGTCTCTGCCTGGAAATAAATCAGAGCACTTCAAGTATCTTTTCGACAACAACTTCAAAGTCGTCAGCTCAGCATCCGTGGCGAAAGATCCTGAGCAACGCGCAAGAGAAACACTTGAGTTTCTGCAAGACAAAGTCGACATCATTATGGTTCATCTGGATGTTGATTCAATTGACCCTGGGACGTTTCCTTTGGCTAATGTCCCAAACTTCACTGGCGTTGAGTTTGAGAATATGATGAGGGCGCTCAAGGGGTTGCTTGGAAGCGAAAAGGTTGGGGGTCTTACTGTTGCGGAGGTCAATCCAGATCATGATCCGGGTTTGAAAATGACTGAGAGATTGACTTCTCATATCGTGGAGATGTTATCTGCGAGAAAGTGTAAGTAGTTTCCAAGATATACACTACATAAACTAGTGATAATATGAAAACCGAATGTACCCAAAAGTTACACTATGAACGCTAGACCTGTATGAGAGTGTGAAAGACAAGGCACAGCTTGACGTTGATAGGGCCGCATGCGCAGAGCATTCGTCACCTCAACCAACGCCCCCAAATTTGGGCACCTCACAACTATCCCCGCTCTTTCATAGATGCCGCCAAGATCATTACTCACTTGCAATCACCATCCAAGACTAACAATCGCGATGGGAAATACGTACTCTTTATTCTTCCTCCCAAGTCCACAGTTTACCGGGGAGAACCTACCGCGCAAAATGGACGCGTCTTCATTGTCACTGGTGGCTACTCAGGCGTAGGCTTCGAATTGAGCTGCATGCTCTATCAAGTTGGCGGATCCGTTTACATCGCTGGAAGATCACAAGAGAAAGCGGAATCAGCTATAAAAGAACTCCAGGAACAATATCCCGATTCATCTGGTAGTCTGAGCTTTCTTAAGATAGCCCTCAATGATTTGGATTCCGTGAAAGCAGCTGCAGAAGAATTCAAGTCAAGAGAATCCAGGCTCGATGTCCTATTCAAAAACGCAGGGGTATCTAATCCTCCAGCTGGCTCAGCCTCAGCTCAGGGATACGAACTCAGTATGGCAACGAACGCCATTGGGCCTTGGTATTTCACGCAGCTTCTCGTGCCAATTCTGAAAGAAACTGCAAAGAGCCAACCCCCAGCATCAGTTCGAGTAATCTGGACAGCTTCCATCGTGACAGACCTTTCCGTTCCAAACGGCGGAGTCAACATGAATGAAGTCATCAGTCCATCAAAAGATCAACAAGTCAACTACACGAATTCAAAGACAGGAAACTGGTACCTCGCCAGCGTTTTAGCAGACCAGATTGGCTCCTATGGTATTCTCAGCGTTTATCATAATCCAGGAAATCTTCACAGTAAGCTGCTTCGCCATATGCCGTCGATTATTGGCTATGTCGTTTCACCGCTTCTCTATCATGCAAAGTTCGGTGCTTATACCAACCTGTGGGCTAGTCTCTCGCCATATTTACAGATTGAGGATGGGGGGAGGTTTATCTTGCCTTGGGGTCGCTTTCATCCGAATCCGAGGGCTGATTTGTTGGAGAATCTCAAGTCGAAGGAGCAGGCAGGAACAGGGACTGCTGCTGAGTTTGCAGAATATTGTGATAAGATTATTGCGGGCCATCTATAGATGCTCTTTTGTCACTGAGTTTCATGGACTTGATACTTCTACAGGTTTGTTTGAGTATGCACCATACAATCCAATACCTTGAGTCAACAGATCTTTTGCGAAAGGGGGAGACTTTGAACACGGTGTAAGACTCCCACAATACAAATGTCAAGCTCGATAATTCTAAAACTATCCTTAGAATAATGGTGACTTCTACAGCTCCGGCGTATGTCCAATAGCTTTGTTCAAAGCATACACATCCCAATAAAACGGCATGATACTCTTGATTACCCCAGCCTCAAGGTCAACTTGAATGACCTGGCACAAAGGATACTTCAGCTCCTCCCCAGTCTTGCGAACCTTTAGGTGCAAATAACCGAGCGAGATGATGCGGTTTGAGCCCTCCTTTTCGAATATTTCAGGGTTCTGGACATCGACTTTGTCAAAGTAGTCGGCCATAGCTTTTGCCCATTGCTGGAAACCATCAGGTCCAGTGTACTCGCCAGCGTAGGGTAGTCCTGATGATTGTTTAAGGCGCACTTCTTTTGAGAGTGTTGCTGCCATGCCGCTGAAGTCGCGTTGTTCAGGTGGTGAGGCCATGTAAATGCGCTCAGCATCGTAGAATGACTCAAGGATTGATCGCGCAGTGTGATTTGTGGAGGACGCCATGCTGGACGTTGAAATGATGATAATTCTTTTTGAATGGAAATGATCGTGAGACAAACAATTGCTTACGGAGAGCGAAAACAAACACAATGCGATATCACGGTCTATTTATTTCCTTGACGAATAGAGTGCTGATTAACTGGGACTATGCTGGCTGTAGGATTATTGGGTTACATGCTGGATTGTCGTCGAATGGAGATGGGTCGTTATTATCTCCAAGGAGTATTCTCCAGGAACTTTTGATGTAGTTACCTGAATTGGCAACTGGGGGCCGGAGTTTTCGGGGTATGGAATTGCCGACTGCAATCAACTTTGGCATCGGCCGGATCTAAACGTTGCCGATGTAGATATTTCCACGATAATGTATAAATAAGGCCTCTTCCCCGCAACCAGCCAGCCTGTCTCTTGGCAAAGCTTGACTCAGCAAGGAATGCATGAGTTGAACAAACAGGGAAAAGCTCAATCGAAACAGACACAATAAGCACGTGGAACCGGAACTTTGTGGGAGAGAAAAGATGGCTGAATCACATTCGGAAATCTCTTGGTCACCGCTAATCGATCTCTATAGAACCTTGTATTTTGGTGACGGTGCCTGGCGTGACCTCATTCTCGGGTCCAGCTGAAAAACACTGGCCAAACAAGAAGGCGAATTCTTGATTTCTGGGGCGATGTGACTATTCTAGAATCGCCCTAGATGCCCCAGTTCACGGACTGTTTCCAGGTGACGTTGGGGGCAACTATGACGCAATGTGCATGATTTCACAGAGGGGGGACCACCCAAATTTCTGCGGCTACCTCCAGTCCCCGTCCACTCTCCAGCTTCATCCACACGAACAAACCAACCTAAGACATGACATGACTTCTCATACCACGATACAATGTCGAGCTCTGCAGAGCTGCAACGCGAACGCGAGGTGCAGGGTTACTTCCAGAGCTGGCAGATAGCGCAAGGTTCCTCTCTCAAGGTCGCTAGAAGTGTCGACAGCATCAACGCGCCATCTCAGGTCAATGACGCACACGCGCCGCAGCCTTCTTCCGACAAGGCGCTCTCAGCCTTTGCGCAACTGGCTGTCTTTCGGCTTAACGTGAAGCGTGCTATGGTCTCGCTCATCGATTCTTCTCAGCAATACATTCTCGCCGAAGCCACACGGAATCTGCGACTGGGGTCACTCGAAGAAGAATCTAGTGGAGAAAAGACCGCCGACAAAAAGAAAGACCCCGAATTAGCGAATTATAACAGCGAATTGTGGTGTAGGTTGGACGATCTCTATAGCTGAGACATACACAACTCCTTCCTTTTATTCATGGCTAATTACTTGCAGTGGGAACGTCCATCCTTTCCCGCCCTGAAGCCGTTTGCGAGCACTGCCTACACAATACATGCATCGGTCGAGATCCTGACGGTCGAACATACTCAGCCTCTGGCCTTATCGTCCCCGACTGTCGCCTCGATGAGCGCTTCAAGTCGCGCGTATATGTCCAATCCGAACCCGGTGTGCGCTTCTACGCTGGCGTGCCCATCTTTTCACGAAAAGGATACAAGGTCGGAACGTACTCTGTTTCGGACGAACGACCGCGAGACGGACTGTCGATCGAGGATGTTAAGTTCATGCAGAGCGTTGCGCAAGCCGTTACCGAACACTTGGAATGGGCACGCGACCGTGTTGACAGGTTCAAAGGTGAACGTATCGTTCGCGGACTAGCGACCTTCATCGAAGGCTGCTCAAGCGATGACCCTATTCTGTCAAAGGAGGATCAACCCCAAAGACCGCCGATCAAACGGCCCCCGGGCATGACTATCACGGCGACGAGACGTTCCTCTTTGCACAACACCATGCACAAGGTCGATCCTGACTCCAACCAACGATCTCAGAAAGCTACCTCACCGCCTCGAAAGCATAAGCCCCAGACGGACGGTTTATCGAGAATGTATCATCGAGCGGCCGATAACTTACGATCTGCAATACTCGCTGACGGAGTTGTGCTCTACGGCGCCACAGCCTCCAACGTTCAACACTTGACCCGAGCGGTACAGATAGAACAGAGTGGTGCCACGAACGCTGACGGACTGCCGACGCAAATCGCTGCAGAGCCCGATGCCTTCAGCACAGAGAGCTCCGATTCCGAGACATCACCGCTGCCAAGACCATGTAAGCTTCTGGCTTACTCGTTAGCTGACAAGAGCAAACCTTTGGACCTCGAACAGGGTCCATCTTTCTCTATCGGGACTCTTGAGAGATACTTTTCACTCTTCCCCAAAGGAAAGACATTTACGTTTACAGAAGAAGGAGCCGGTATTTCTTCTGATGACGATAGTGCGAGCGATGGTAGCCCTGCTCCCGCTGGAGGGAAAAGCAAGCGTCGCAAGGAAAAGATTGACCACAAGGAACTCCTTAAGAAGATCCCCGGGGCAAAGGCCGTTGTCTTCCTACCCTTGTTTGATTACGTTGAAGATAAACTTGTTGGCGGGTGTTTCCTCTGGACCTCGGTGCCCGGTCGCATGATGAACCTGGATGAGGACCTGTCTTACCTACGAGCGTTTGGTAACAGCATCACGAGTCAAGTCGGTCGCATCAATACGAGGAAGAACGAAGCAGCCAAGACCACATTCATTGCAAGCATGAGTCATGAGTTACGAAGTCCGCTACATGGCATCTTAGGTGCTGCTGAGTTCCTCAAAGACGCAGTAACCGACTCGTATGAAGTCGGCCTTGTCAATTCAATCGCCACTTGTGGCAAGACGCTCCTCGATACCTTGAACCATGTGCTCGACTTCAGCAAGATAAACAACTTGGGCAGCGGACAATTGAGAAGAGGCGCAAAACACAACAAGATCATCAGCCTCTCTTCTGATTCGATGGAGAGCTTAAACATGACGGCGTCAGTAGACCTCTCTGTTCTTGTCGAGGAAGTTGTGGATGCTGTGGCAACTGGTCACAACTTCAAAAGGCTCCCCAGAAAGCAACTAAGTCAAGAAGAAGCAGTGTTGGGTGGCAAGGATAACCAAGGAGCCCCGGAACCAGGAACCGATCATCCTGTATCAATCCTTCTGGATATTAGCCCGAGGGCATCATGGATGGTCAAGACACAGCCTGGTGCCCTCCGAAGGATTGTCATGAATCTATTCGGCAACGCGCTCAAGTATACAGCGTTGGGTTTCGTACTTGTCTCGGTGCGGGCGCAAGAGATCAGCGGCGATTCTAGGATAGATGTCTTGATTCGAGTTACGGATACCGGAAAAGGAATGTCGGAGGACTTCCAACAGAATCGTCTCTTTGTTCCTTTCAGCCAGGAAGATTCCTTCCAGCCCGGGACTGGTCTGGGCTTAAGCATTGTTAAACAGATTGTGGATTCACTTGGAGGGACGCTCGAGGTCAAATCGGAACAGAATAAGGGTACTGAAATTGAAGTCCGACTGCGTCTTGAGCCAGTTCATGAAGAGAATTCCAAACCGGAAGAGCCCATGGCTTCCATGGTCGAACAGCTTCGGGGAAGGTCTTTGGTGCTCCTGGAAGCAAGCGAGGACTTCCATTCAAAAACCATCACTGAGCAAGTCAAGGTGCGCAACGAAACCTTGATGGATATCTTCTCAAGCTGGTTCAATATGAAATCTGCAAGAGAGGTAGATACGGATGTGCCCAAAGCCGATTTCTATCTCTATTGTGAGCCACCATCCGCGAAAACCCTCGAAAAGCGTTTTGCAGAGACTGCGATAGACGGCCGTCGCAATAAGAAAGCGCCCATCATCATCATCAGCTTGAATGAAGAAGAAGCAGCAAAGATATCAAGAGCTCAGGCTAAGGCTTTAGCCAGATTGTCAGATGTGGTTGAAGTTATCCCACAACCGTAAGTCATGCCCGCGCGTAATGCTGTGCTGATACTAACGCGTACTTAGATGTGGCCCTAGGAAACTCGCACAAGTATTCAGTCGATGCTTGAACAGGATTGGGGAGGCCAGAGATGACGACGACAACAGAAACCTGATCCAGAGTGCGCAGACAGGTGGCAAAGAGTCAAAAGAGCAGAACACTCCGGACAGAGAGGACGCAACAGAACAGATGAACTCGAAATTGCACCAAGGCAAAGGCGACAAGCCGGATTGGGCGGAAACTACCACTTCACCATTACCACGGGGAAAAGAAGAACAAGACCGGTCCAAAAACGACAGTCGGGAAAATAGCCAGAATAAGGAAAAGAAGGAGAGCAATGAAGATTTTAGGAAGGAGGTGAATAACAAGTCTTCACAAGACACGCGAAAACAAAAGAAACCGGAAATGCCAAACAAGGCACACGTTCTACTCGTCGACGATAACAAGATCAACCTCAACCTTTTAACAATGTTCATGAAGAAATGCGGCTTCTCCTACGAAGAAGCAGAAAACGGAGAAGAAGCCGTCGAGACCTTTAAAAAGTCAACAATCGGCGACGCGGAACCTGGGACACCTGTCAAGAAGCACTTTGACTACATACTGATGGACATAAGCATGCCCGTCATGAACGGCGTCGAAGCTACAAAGAGGATCCGCAAGCTCGAGGCGGAGTACAAGGTTCCGAGGACGACGGTGTTTGCGCTGACAGGGCTGGCGAGCGCGGATGCGAGGCTCGATGCCATGTCGGCGGGCGTGGACTTGTTTTTGCCGAAGCCGGTCAAGTTTGCGGAGTTGAAGGCGATGATTGAAAATAATTAGATGTATATACGAGACGAATTATGTGTACTTGTTTATGATAGATATGTAATAGAAGACGTGGAACGATTGAACTCGAGTTTGTGATGTTGCTAGGGTTGAAGATGGCGGCTGCGAGATCGTCAATTCAGGAACAAATAAGTCAAAAAAATTGGGTTTGAGCTGATTGATCTGACATGATTCATTCTTTGAGGTCTCGTGATATCGCTAACGACTCAGAAACTGACTTGACATGACTGTAAAGGGCTGACCCTTCCAGACTTCGATTGAACCAGCGCCCAGCCCAATCTCAAGGTCAACACACTCAGACATGATGATTGTAGACGTGAGTTGCAACACGGCGGATGTCATTGAGCAAGTCAACCAGTGTAACAGGTCGGTGGTGAATTTGTTCATTAAAAGCGCTTCGACCTTTTGATATCTCCCTTTTGCGACGAGGCCAGACAGACGGTGGGCCAGTATTAGACAGTCATATACTATGAGAATGCTTACGCAAGAGATTCCCTGAGTTTTGGCTTGGTCCAAACAGCCAGAGTAGATTCTTGATATGGCGGTAGATCAGTTTGTGATAGATCCGCAGTCTCTAAACGAGTGAGTAGCTGAGTAGAGATCCCTCGTGTCCAACTAGGCAATTACTTTGCCCTATGTGTATACATTCTGTGCTGGGATCTTCTGTGTCCTTGTCTGATGTTCTCATGATATTGTGTTGGTGTTGTGCTTTGTGCTTTGTTGACTGTGTGAGGAAGGGACACCGTCAGAGTCACTTTTCCTTCAGTTCCCCAGTCTGTAGCTGAACCATCATCTGTCCGTCTGGCAGCTACAGGTAAATTTCAGGCCTTTGACTTTGTTTTGCCAATAAAGTCTCTTCATCGTGGACTTCGTCTCGCTGCTTTAGCCAAAAAGATGCCCTGCATGGTCAGCCAAGCCCAACATGTTGCGCATCGTGCAAGTTGACAGTCAACCCACGATCACTCGACGCGCTGAAGACGAGGCCTGTGAAAATTGCAAGGCAGGCAGGGGCCCGTTTGCTGAATGCGTTGTTCCTCCCGACGGCCTTTCCGACGATCTTCTTGCACCCTGCGGCAGCTGTTTTTATAGCCACACCGGCTCTCACTGCTCCTTTGTTACGTTAGCATGTCATAAAGAGCCGCCCTCCGCAACTAAGTCTACCAAAGGGAAGAAGAATGCCATCCCCACTGACACTCCTCGCAAGCGCAAGCACGAGGATTCCCAGGATGAGCCTTCTCCTATGCCTCGTATTCCGCGCTGCTTTTGTCCTTTTAAAGAGCAATCACACCGCTGAGAGGGGATCTCATGGGCGATATGAGCTCATCGAACCGAACTCGGTTCGCGGATGCGACATGAATTCGCTTTAGAGTAACGAACCACTCTATCTCCTCGTTCGATGGGTGGTATTTGCGCAGATGGAGCCCATACAAGAATGGTCATCATCGTATGGAAATCACCCATTCGCCTTTTGATGCCCATGACATGGGACGTCAACTGGATGGACTGTCCATTGTATAATCCGCATACAGAAACTGCCTCCCCACGATAAACTCATGGCAAGTTCTGGCAATCTGGATGAGTCGATTCAGAGTTACGCTGGTGCCTTTGACATAACCGCTCCACTATACCCCATAACCCATGGGTATCTCAGGACATTACTCGGATTGCGCATCAAGCAGCAGTACCAACCCCAATGATTCTCTCCCAAGGCTTCCATACATTGAACTAGCTCACCACCACCACCACCTCACATCGAAGAGGTCTATCTTTGTGTCCTTTTTCTGGGCTGGTCAACTTGTAGGGCCTTATGAGTTATCAATAAGGTGCATCTAGCAGTGCCAGCTCCTCCTTCAGACTTCGGCTGAGACGCTTAAGTCTTATACATCTTCTGCCGCTTCAACGGGTTTTCGACTGCCATTAGTCTTTGGCAAGTGCCCTAGCTAGTGTGCATGGACTATAGAAGTTTCCAGGCATGTTCCAACGCTCCGACCGGTCCTGCTAGGATGCCAACACGATACCGGCGCGCTCTAGAGGACGCCAGCCTAACAAGCTTATGGAATTGTTGCCCCGGTTGAATTCATATTTGAGGTGAAGCCGGCACAGAAACTTCACTATTGTGCCCTTCGACACGTCCAACAATGACGGACAACTTGGAAGATGGATTGAAACCGTCTGAGCCACTGAAGGTCACGGCAACCCACTGGTTTGATCTAAGTGATAGAAAGGGGAGAGGCGGCGTTTCGGATAACATTCGGGGCTTAATAGGGATGGCCATGGATCTTCAGCAACAGCAGGACGGCGTTGATTTATTTCATCCCGTCTTCGCCTTCTACAAAGCAGGTGTTGCGTATAGGTAGAGGTTACCAGTGGATTACGTTGGCAAGCTCTTAAAGTATCAACTATGAGCCTGGTCTCGCCACGACATGAAACGCCTTTGATATTGAGGTTTATTCTTGGTTTTATCCAGAACCGCCCGAACGGTGTATTGTTGCTGCTACTGCTGTCAAGATGTTGACCGACAGCTGCAGCACACCAGCACCAGCACCAGCACCAGCACCAGCAACTGCAGCAATACTAACAGCAATGGTGAAAGGTCAAATTGTTCGTGTTGCTTCAGGTGCAACAATATCAGCAGCAACATGTGAGACATAAAGGTAGAGTCCCTATGGGTTGGGCTTGGAGATCTCGCATGACAGAAATGGGAATTCGCTAGGCCAAAACCAAGGTGTTCGTCTCACCCCCAGTAAGCATTCCAATCTCAATCAGTCACATCACAATCAAGATATAACCTCTGAGCTTGAGGTCAGTCCTGGTCAAAGGGGATCGTGGTCGAAGCTCAGTTATGAGCGACAGAGGTTCTTCTAGCTTTGAGAAGAACGTCTACTGCATCGAATTCGGTGTCACCAATTGCCAATTGGATGCTCCTTTCACGAAGTACTGCTGTAACAATAATACTCATCCACATTTAACACGAGTCCAATGCGGTACTGCCCTAGCTATTTGAGTAAGTAAAGTTGAAGCTATATACAAAGAACGGTAATACCGGTCTCCTCCTCGACACCACACCCCGTGATTTTCTCAGCCTCTTGTCGCTGGTCGAATACCCTGTGGGTTCCAGAACATATCATTCCGATCATACGCCCTCTTAAGCTCTCTCAACCTCCCCAGGTTCAACTCATAGTACTGCTCAACCGCCTCCCGGTTCTCCAACTGCGTATCCAAGTAATTCGCATACATGCCCCAATCCGAATCGTCCATAGTTTTGGTGACACTCTCTCTGAATCTCTTGAGCAGCGTGAACCCATTGTTTGCATGAGTAGCGTAGTTTCCATGGTCGGAGAACTGGAACAGGAGGAGTTTGTCGCGATGGGGGAACGCGCTGTTGGTGGAGCCGGCGGTTGTGATGGCGGAGTTGGGACCGCCGAAGAGATCGATTAGGATGTACCATGAGTGGCGGGCGTTGGGGTCTTTGATGTTGTCGAAGAGCGTTCTAACGAAGGACTTGACTTGGGGTCGGGTGAGGCCTTTGGTCATGAGACTTGTGCTGTAGAATGTGCTGTGCTGCAAGGTGTTAGTGCTGAACATGACGAACATGGGGTACTCTTGCTGACCTGGTTGTATGGACGTCTCTGATCGAGGGTCTGGCCATTAGCATAGGCCTTCAATCCCTCGATCCAACCGCCAGTGGTAGAAGCAGAGATCTGTGCATCTATATCCCCAAGAAGAGGCTTAAGTGCAGTATTCAAAGCCGCTCTAGTTCCATAGTAAACTCCCCGGATAGTCTGCCCCGATGGCCCAATGTAGATCTGCATATTCAACTGCTTCGGCGCGTTCGCAGCAAACTTCTGAAACGCAATTAGTCCCTCGACAGCTTGGTTCTCATTCCATTCAAGCTCAATACTAAACGGCGTAACTATATCAGGTGCTTTGATCGTTTGGAAGTCAAGTTCGACTACGATTCCGTAGGAAGATCCCGCACCGCGAAGAGCCCACATTAGTTGGTTATCTCCCCCTTCTCCATCCGCAGCGTATGTTCGTGTACCGTTGGCGAGAATCACGGTTGCGCCGATGAAAGTGTCGAGTGTGAGACCGTAGGTTCGAGAAGCGAAGCCATAGCCTCCATGAAGGGCATGGCCAGCTATACCAACACTATTTCTGTCAATGTATACTCCACACATGCAGACAGGTTGTGTTCCTTACCCTGGGCAACTTCCGTGGGGTATAGCTCTTTGACCAAGCTTATACAACTCTGAAGCAACATGTCCCAGCCGAGCACCAGCCTGGATATTGCAACTCATGTATTTGTTCAGCGTGACTTGATCCATGGAATCCAAGACAACCACGAGGTGACCATTCTCGCCTCCATAGCCGAAAGAGCCATAGCTATGGCCGCCACTCTTGGCGCTGACTCGTACCTGGCACTGATTACCGCACTTGACGGCATCTTGGACATGATCAACAGTGTTAGGGAGGGCAATTGCAGCAGGAGTGTAGGCCAGACGGAGGTTGTAAGGTCTGACTTCTTGGGTCCATTGGGGTGAGTTGGGGCGGATGTAGGGAACTTTCTTGGAAGCGAGACAGCTGTTGAGAGCGGTCGAGGTATTGGCTGGGGAGGTTGAGGCTGCAAGAGCTATAGCGGCTTGGAAGCAGAGGAGGATTAATGACACCATTATGGAGAGAAGATGAAGCTGGTGAGCTCTGCCTTGGAGACATCTTCCATTGGGAGGTCGAGGGCCTTATAAGCTTGGAGATTTGGCTGTTTGCCGTTGTTGCGAACACGAGATGTCTCACGCTCAGCCGTTTGGCCTGGTCTGGGCATATTGAGGCTGTTTCTTTACGAGGTGGAAACGGAAACGATCCATGCATTGCGGGATGCGGTTGCAAGGAGTTGATCAAGAGCTGAACTTAACTCTGCGCCGGGGTTGAGCAGGTTTCATATACACGTTTCTTTCAACGGCTCGGAAGGGTCTTCGAGAGCTCTCCACTGCAGTATTGAGATTGGAATTCAGCATCACCCGTGGAATAGATGCCACCATCACCCCTCTCGAGCATACAAACAAACTTCACCGCCGACAACACACTCCGTCAACTCTAGAGTTCAATCATATGAATCACACTGTGACGGTACATCTCAAGCACTCTGCTTCCGTAGAAAGAAACAAACTAGGCGTATCGCGAAGTTCCGATCTTCCCCTGAGGCCTTCCAATACAGTGACACCAACCCCAGCCTCGTGTAGCACAAATACGCACGTCAGCAATTGTACCACCACCAACACTTCCCGTCTGCTCTCCCGAGACAACTCAGACCACCTTCTCTCCCTAGTTTTCACCATATGGTATCTAGAATGCGGGAGAGAGCTCAAAACTCTAGGCCCAATTAGAAGGGATACTCCTATAAACTTAGCAGGCTCGTATATCAGGTTATTCTCACCCTCAATGTAAGAGCCTTGGAGACTTCTGGCACCCGAGAGCATTCACAGTTCTGATCATTGGGTTGTGTGATCTCGTTGCATCGCATGGATACTTAGCTCGAGTCCATCTGCACTCTATTCTCGTGGTTAAAATAACTCCCCAGCTTCTCTGATCTGATTAGCTGAATGAGCATGCAGTAGTGTTACACAGCTTTGTTGTGCGACGATCTAATGCCAGGAACCGAGGCCCAGTTTAGAGTCTCTCGACAACACGAAGGGGAAGCTTTGCAAGATGTGTGAATGCAATAATAGAAAGCGTGGTAAGCCAAGAGCTATTGTTATATCAACTTTCCCAGTATCTTAAAATATGCAGTCAAGAAGTGTGCTTCCACAAGGCTCTGGGACATCTCAATACATACACTACCCTGAACAATCGTCGATCGTTCCCACCTTTCCCCAGGTTTCCTCGAGTAGCTCTATTCTCCATCTGTTAGATAACATCAAGTCCTTTCTCGTACCACATGCCAATCCACAAATAAGGCTCGAACAACTCTTCAAGTCCCCTTTGTTCAACGCAGCACCGTGACTGTACTCATCAGCAAATGAGCTCTGCTGATCAATGATATAGTACATGCTGTGAAAGTCGCGCCAGAATAGGGTGCCTATCGTGAACATCGCTTAGAGCTAATGCTCGCTTCGTATAATGTCTTCGCGGTTGAGTCTTGCTGCCAACTGTCCGCGCGTCAATCGATATCGTAGACTCGGTAGCGCAGCAAAGTGAGCGGAGAAGAGCATATCTAACACCACGGTTCTAGGTTGGCCTTTCAGAGTGCATAGCGATGTTATTGGAGACTTTTATCAGGACTCGGGAGCTGGTACAATCGTCCCACAGAGAAATCTCTAGTTCCCTTCGTTAAGCTTGGAGTAGTGATAGGGTTATATGCTCTGCACTTCATGAACCAACGACTTCATTAAACATACTGCAGCTGTAGATCTCTCTCTAACGTGAAAGGCCTCTTCCTCCGGCCACGGAAACACTGTTAAAACAGCATCACCCTCACGAGTATCACCATCACAGCATCACCACTCCAAGGCCAATTCACACCAAAGAACCTTTACACTCATTCACAAACACCAAAAGCCCAATCAGCATCCTCCCTCTCTATCCCCTCTTCATCACAACCCTCCCCACACGTCAACGTCAACACCGTAACACAGCATCACATTGACACATCCCCACAACCACCAAGTGAAACACTTCCCCAGAAACTCATAATCCAATTGCACGCGTAACTCCCTCTGTGGACTAAAAGGTGCTGCAGTGAATCATTGCCAGTTGTTCAAATGAATCGGCGCGCTGCGGTATGTGAAGAAATTGCTATTGTTCCTCGACCAACACAATAGAGGGGAGATGAGGGCAGTGAATCACTGTCTCTCCACCGAATTCCCAACTATATAAGACCTCTCTCTTCCTCTTCTGACTTTCCCTCCTCCTTCATCATCAACTTCCACTCCTTCGAGCAACACCAAAGCCTCCAAGCACATTACATTCCGTCAACACACAACACACACACTCTTCAACATGTTCTCCAAGCTCTTCCTCCTCGCTCTCCCCCTCGTCCTCGCAGCCCCAGCGGTCAAGCGCACAGAGGGCGACATCACCTTCTACACACCCGGCAAGGGCGCCTGCGCCGGAACCCATGGCGTCGACGACATGGTCGCTGCCGTTGGTGCCAATCTCTACGACTCCAGCGATGTCTGCGGCAAGACCATCACCCTCCAAGGCGATGCTGGTACCGTGACCCTTACTGTCGTCGAGTAACTTCTCCCCTCACCAACTTTGCTTGCATCATGAACCCTGCTAATGCATATGGTACAGCCGCTGCGAGGCCTGCAAGGACACCGACCTCGACGTCTCCCCTGCTGCCTTTGAGCAGGCTATCGGACCTAAGGACATTGGACGCGGCAAGGGAACTTGGACTTTCGTCTAAGCGCCAACATTCTTTTCATGAGACCACGACTTTTTTGGGACGACTTAACGACTTTCTCTTCTCGTACACAGATTTTACGACAGCCGAACATATGGGAGACATTTTGATGGAGGCACGAATGATGAACTGCTAGCATTAGCAAGGCGAAACGGAACGAACTCAATACAGTTCAGTTAACTCACTCTTTGCTCCTCATGACATGTGATATGCACCGCCTTCATTGAATGTGTGAATTGATTCTGTCAATCTATGCTAAACTCGCTTTGATGCTCCCAAGCTATCATGATTTAGCTAATGCGGAGATACGCCCCTGATCCATTGTCCGAGCCACCCAATCCATCCGCCGAAGAAAACAAACCGCAGTGCCCACGTTACGAATAAGAAAATCCAACGCCTGGTTGTGTTGTACCTGTGATACTCCATACCAACACTCGGCTGTGGTGCGTGTGAACATTCTGACGCCCCGCTAAGAAATCCAGTGTATGCATATTGTATGCCGTGATAAATCCAAATCTCCTAGCCTTGTTTATTTTTAAGACCGAACCACCTTCTCTTGCCTCCTGCTCTTGGGCTATCTACTTGCTCTGAAGTATCCCTGTCCATTCTTGGTGTACCTGGGGTACCTGGCTCCTGGCTCATGATTGAATCGTCACCCACGTCAACCGATGTATGTCGACCATGGCGAGAGCTTCGCATGATTGGTGGTGGTGTCGCACTGTCGCGGTCCTCATCTGCCACGCCTGTCCGGCTGATCCATGGTGGAAGTCCTGATGCGCCATTAACGCTCGAGGATACCCCATTGCTGGGTGGTTCAGTAGGTCCAGTCTCTGAAGTTGGAGTAGGGGATGGAGCAGTAGTTGACGATCGACGGAAGAACTTTGCGAACTTGTTCTGAGCGGGCTGGCCCGCAATGGGCGGATAATGGTTCTTCTTCTGTTCGCCAACAGGTGGTGCTTGAGCCTGCATTTCCGCTCTCATCTGGATGTCGTCGCTGTTCCTCCTCTGATGTCCCTTCTTACGGCCTGACTTAGAGACCTTCGGATTGGCCGGCGGACGGCTCGAGTTCGAGATCTTAAGCTGTGCTACTGTCTGAGCATTCAAACTCGATCGTCTGTTGGGAGGTGGCGGAGGCAGTGAGGCCGAGAAGAGTTCCTGCTGAACAGGGAACAGATTCCTAATCATTTCAGAGTCGGTGCCTATGCTTGCACCCCCATTATGGCCACTTCCAGGTCCATACATTGCTTCCATCGACCAGCCGCCCTTAGTTGCGCTCGACGGAAAGCTGAACAGATCAGGCGAGGTTCGTCCACCATTCTTGTTAGGCTTGGCGCTTTCGCGCATCCAGATATCGAGGCTCGAATCGAGGGAATCGACGTCTGAATCGTCGGTATCGGTATCCCAATCATTTCCTCGTCGGTTCGATATAGTTGTTTCGTCGGCCGAGCGGGGACGTTGGATAGACCTTCCTCGGTTCTCGACGTAAGCTCTGTTGTTCAGGTCGATAATATGAGCCGAAGCCTTAACTGCACGCATAGGTTCCTGAAGTTGAACACCCGAATGCATTCCCATGCTTCCTTCATTTTCAGATGTCTCTGAGAGAGCACCGTGGCTTCGCTGCATTGTGGGATGTTTGGATAGTGTGTCGCTCGAATTCTGGAACCGTCGCAGGGTCGAAGTTGAGATAGTGTCTGGCGTTGGTGGTAGGTTTTGGTCATGTAACCTGACACCACCAGGAGCATCCGTAATGACTCTCCGGAGTGATTCGCGCTTCTCCTCCTTTGTACGTCGATGAGTGGCGGGCACAACAGAACGGCCAGTGAACACATCGGCTCCATCCTTATCCCGAGCTTGAGGTCGTTCTTCCACCTTCTTCGGAGCGTAGTTGCGATCAGCCTTTCGGGCAGGAGAGTTGTACTCAATTACGTTGTTGATCGAATCAAATTGCGCTTGACGAGTTGAAAGAGAATTCGATCGAGCTGATCTGTTAGGTGAGACATGCGACTTGACAAAAGCTGTCTTTGGCCTATTGATAGTACTAGCTTTAGCTGGAAGACTATCAGCACCATCAAGGGCAAGAGGCTCGTCCACATCTTGTATGCCGCTGTTATCGTGTTCTTTAGATCCATACACGCTGACAAAGGAGCTTTCACTCAAAACGCTCAAGCTTGGGCTGCCCAGGGCTGTGTTACGGCCGTTATCAGCTTCACCAGAACCCTCAGGGACTTGCGCAAGACTGAGAATACTACCCCTAGTGCCAAGATAGACATTTCGCAGGTTCTCTGTTGTCTCGCTGTGGTCAGAGAGGAAACTCGGCATGCGATTTATAGCCTTACCACCTCCCATTTGCTTCATCATATCCGGCGACTGAGTAGCGGGTCTGGGATCTTCGTAGCATGGGTCGAAGGTGGGTGCGGCGTATTGGCCTTCGGCTTCGATCTGCTCGATGATGGAACGTTCTTTGGCGTACTGCTCAAGTCTGGCTTCGAGAGTCACAATCATAGCGACCGCCTCCTCAATTGCTTTGTCGCGCTTCTCCAGCTCGGCTGAAAGGTGGTCGTTCATCTCTTCAGCTCGTGACTTTTCCACCTCAAGAGTCTCGACCTTGTCTTCTAATGCGGTCTGTCGTTCACGGCGGTGGTACAGTTCTAGCTTGAGGTCAAAGTTCTTCTTGTGAAGCGACGATATGACCTGCTTCCTGTTAGCTAGCTCCAACAATATGCCGAATTGGTTATCCTACCTGTTCCATATCCTTCACCCCCAGTCCCTTCTTTTTATTGGATTCACTTCCAGCGGCGGATTGTGGTCGATGTCCATCGGCCTCCAAATTCTTAATGGGAGAACCAAGGCTCCGACTAAATTCGCCCGAAGAGTTCACATCAGTGCTGCGCGACCATGTCGTCGATCGGTCGCTCTCGGCCATGCGCGATTGCTGAAGCTTCTCTTGAAGGAATGATGATATGATGGTTTGTCTTGTTGACTCGCTGCTAGCTTCTCGAGTCAAGCGCGGCGTCCGTGTTGCTGTTCGGGGAGTGGTACTGGATGGTCTTTGGCAAGTCGCATGGTAAAGCCGGTGGGAATGTTGCGACTGAGATAAATTGGGGGATCCAGGAGCATATGACAAAGACAAAGCGCTATGGGCGGTATGCATTGTAGCTCTTGTATTGGTGGTGCTTGTTGAGGATCGAGAAGCGGTTCTTCCATAGGAAGACCGCGAAGGAGGTCGTTCCATCGTGGGACGATGTGTTGGTATTAGGTATCAAGAGGGATTGGGTATCGAATTCGTAGGGAGCGTAGCCAAACGCTGAGGAACAGTCCAGCTTGAACCTCAAAGGGCAAGCTCAGTATCGCAAATAGATGTTAGATGTACAAACAGCGATTGGACACGGTTCGAGACGTCTATGGCATATCGAATTGATCGCGTGTCTTAGGTCCAGATCACGATGAGCAAGTTTGATTCACTTCATCGCGGATTGTATCCAACAACTTTCGGGTATTGTCGCAGGAAGCGAATTAGATACGCAAGATGCTGAATTAACGATGATGGGCGTAGTTTGTCTCGAGTTTGTGGTCGGTCGGCTGCAGACGACCTATAGAGTATGTTCAGGCTCTGACTTCAACACCTTTGAACAAAGACAATTGTCGCCAAGGAGTATGTACAATCTCAGTTCGTTTACGTTAGGAGGTACGACAACTGAAGACGATAGAGAGCGTCTTGGTCGTCGTGATGTTGGACAAACAGGTTCAAGGTCGATAATTAAAGAAGATAGATTGCAACGAGGGAGAGAATGGCAATCGTTAGGATCGTGTTAATTTGGACTTCCCGTGGTCTGCGGTGGGGAGTAAGGGACAGGAGGTTGTCGATGCAAGGGAGAAACGACGTCGGGTACGTAATGCGTAAGGGTCAAAGATAACGCACGGAGTAGATGTCGATCCAATCTCGCAATTTCTAGGTTAAAAGCAAGGGCGCAAAGAGACGTGGATGTGAAAAAGATCACGAAGAGGAAACTCAAAGAACAAACAGGAGAGAAATTGGTTTGTGTAAGGGTATGTCTGAGAATGGTCTTATTTGCAACTTTTTGCTTCTGCTCAGCCAATTCGATTCATTCATTCCTGGCAATGGCACAGTGGACACCACCCGCTGAGAGTTGGGTCTAAGGGTACCCCCCGCATTAGCGCCATAGCAAAAAGTCAGGCACCAGAAGTTAGGCCTGTTAGCGTGTTAGTGCCGGGAAGTCTTGGGTGGTATTGCGAGCTAGTCCTTGACACAAAACGCTAGATTCACTTCTGCCGAGTTGAGTTGTGTGACAGTGAAGGGCGCGTCTTAATTACAGATCCTTGGACGTGTTTTTTACGTGTCGACGTGTACTGTAAGAGTTATAACGCGATGGTCAGGGATCATTTACGGTATTGCCGGCTGAAGAGTGGGGGACTGAAATGCTTACGAGCCCTTTTAATCGACATTGCATTCTTTGCAGCGTGAACCAATCTAAAGCCCGATTCTGGCCTGTGCTGTTTATTTACAGAGATGGTTACCAGAGCAAACATGTCATCTAATCTCGACTTTCATCTCTCTCCCATGCCATTGAATCGTCTTTTGAACCTTCAATGTCAGATTTTCACTCAATCTTATTCAGAACCAACCACTTCAGAACTCTCGCACCCACTAACAACCTCTACATCCCCGCCCATCACCTCCATCACTTCCTCTGTCCCCCATCAGCACCAATCATAAACAGTTCCACCGGTCTGGGGAGCATGGACCCCGGGTCCCGGCGGGCGGGCCGTGCTCCGAGCAGGGGGGGACTCACCCATGTCGTCACTTTTCTTCTTTTCTCTTCAAGCGCTTCCTTCGGCTGCTGTGATTGTGATTGAGAAACTCATGTGACCAGTTGCTTTGCTTTTTGTGAGAGGACGTTTTTCCTAAACGATCAAGGTTATCGGATGTGGCTTGATAAAAGGGAACAAACATGCAGCAGGGAACAAACGACTCTCATTAATCCCTCCAATATGTTTGTTTCATGTTGTCCTAGACAGAACCAGCATCTACTGAACCCCCTCAAGGGTTATTCGTCTTACCCGCATCAATTATCACTCACAAGAACTATATCATCCAATTGTTAAGGCCCATCTCGTATTACCTCTTGCAAGAATCCACCAGAAGAGAGATCTTGCACTATGAAACAAGCCGTCTTCGATCCGTATGCATCGGTCCGCTTAGAATGTTTGCTAGCTTCAGGCTTCAAAGGAAAAACTCCGTCCCGTCGCGACCCAATCCCCTCCAAGCTCCCCCCGTAAGAAACTCTAAAGTTGTGGACTTGACTTAAACCTTTGACGGAAATGGTTCAGGGTCTAGACAATTTCTTGTGGCAGTCCGTCTCACTTAAGCCATTCCCGCTGTTGCCGTCCATTGACGTGAGACTTGAGACGCTCAGACACTGAAGTATCAACCGCGTTCAACAGACGGAAACTCTTGGATCTTAAGAGAGTTCTTCTAAACCGTGTCTTCTCGTTTATATCTGCGCCAAGTGGAACCCTGGCTTAACGGCTGAGGTCTGCATACCGCCTGTTGACTGGCCGCAACTCAATCGTACAATCTTGAACGGCGAGTGGTGCAATTAAGAGCAAACATTTCCAAGCGGTCAATCGCGGCTAAGATATTCCTGGTCTGGTCGATCGTGCCTCGCCCTGTACCTTACATCAGATCTAGACCGCAAACTACACCCAAGGTGTTCAGCCATGAACTAAATAACTGACCATCCAAGCACTTCTCTTTGTTCAACGGCATGGCGCCAGACTATAAGACTACTTTGGCATTCCATATGCTTTGCCACGCAATGATGTGTCCAGCTGACTGCGAATACCCGGCCGCAAGCATCGTCGTCACCATGACAATTCTTTTGACTTCGTAGAAGTGGGATCTAGTTATATTGCCTCCCGGCAACTTACCGTCTCTTGCGAGAAGGTTAAACGGGATTATATGCGATCATGTACTTGTTACCTTTGGATGTGATCGTATCCTACTCAATCTCAATGTGCAATAAAGAATGATGGGACAGTGAGGCTTCTGATCACTCTTTTATCACTTTGTCTAGGACTACCGAGACATTATCCCGCGCTTCTCATTAATCTCAAACACGGTAGTTCACTTCTGTGGCTGAGCGGGGGATCGTCACATTTATCACATACACTTGCTTGATGCAGATGCAGATGCACCTCTTTGGGTCTTCGCTTTGCCAGAGCTTGTTTGCAATCAAATGAGGAAAGAAGTCCTTTGCTGACTCTTGTTGTTCCCTTCCTTTGATATAATACCAAGATGAAACAGATTTGTATATTCAACTCTTGGGACTGGCTGACTGGAGTTTACAAGCCAGAGGAGTTCGCAAAGTTGTGGACGGCCAATTATCCATCTCTAGGATAGAGAATGCCCTGAAAGGCAATACATGTTGGCATCACCTGCCGTATTTGTAGTTTATTGCAAGAGTGAGTCTCAACTTCTCTTCTATCAAGGTAGAAAACGGTAAGTGAATCCCGAGAGAAGATATAGGGTTGCCAGAATCAGTACAACGAACCTAAGATCGATCACTCAACCAGCTTCAGTTGTTTTCCACAAGTGATTGCAATTGCCATTCGATACAGCAAATTCTTAAGTCGAGATCATTGCTGTCGTCAGGTTTACTGGGCGCGATTCAGGGTAATGCCTATCTCAACTCCCAGGGGAAATGTCTTCATTCGAATCACAATCTTCTCAGCAGCTACCCTGAAATAGCATTGTCCATCTTTCTTGAACATAATCATCTTGAATGTTGACCCAACAGGTATAAAGGCAACCAGACATCGTCGTCACAGGACTACCATGTTTACATAGCATGTACCGTCCAAGAAGATCAACCACATCTTTCCAAATCGAAAGCCTCAACTGTCCAGTATGAACATCACATCAAACTCCAACCAAAAATTGATAAAGCAAGGTTAGTAACGCTTGTAGATTCACGAGATACCAAGTCATCTCCCAAAACGCCGTGTATCTGTCTAATCATCATCTTACAGTTCATCTTTCTTCTTAAAGAACTCCTCCTGACTCCCCTCCGTCTCCTCCCCACCCTCCTTTTCACCCTTCTTCTTCTCCGCCTTAGCCTTATCCAGCGCTTCTTTCTCCTTCTTCAACTTCGCCTTGTTCTTCGCAAGCTCATCCTCATCTGCATCAATATATCCTCTCAACTCTTTCTCTCCGCCAGGAAGCTCAACGAGCTCAAGTTTCCATCCGTACTTTCCTGCGAGTTTCTTCATGCGCTCTGTCATGTCTTTGACGGTGGAGGGCTTGAGGTCGAGGCGCTCGAGTTCTTCGGTGCTGAGGAGCTTAACTTCGCTGCCGTCTTCTTTGCTCTTACCAGAGGCGACGACTTCGATAAAGCGCTCGCCGTCGGTGTCGGTGTTGGAGAAGTAGCTTCGTGGGGGGGGAAGCTTGGCCGGTGGTTTGCCTGCTTCGTCTGCGCCGGAGAGGACATTACGGGCGCCTACGATGACACCGCCGATGTTGACAGGCTCCTTTGCTGCATCTTGCGGCTTGGCTTCCTCAGGCTTGGCTTCCTCAGGCTTGGCTTCTTCGCCTTCCTGCTTCAGAGGCTCCTGCGCCTCAGTGTCCTTCACAGGTATCGCCTGGTCCAGTAAAGGAGTTTGGTCGTTCTCGCCAACGATGAGCTTGCACGAAATGGGATTCGCTCTAGTCTCCTCAGGGGGCAAGAAAGCAACATCGTTGCATAGCCGGGGTGTGTTGACCACCATGAGATAAGCACAGATCGTGACCTCCTTGATCCATCCGATCCTGTCAGTCTTCATGCCTGGCACACAATGATACTGAACCTCGATTGTCCGTTCCCTACCGGTCAAATCGCAGATCGTTCCACCCTCTAGCCTCTGCACGAGATATCGTTGATCTCCCTTGACCTGCAACTCCGCCGGTGGTGGGTTCTCGATACCGTTCAGCTTTGCTTGGTGCGCAGCGTTGGCGGGAATCGCGGGAACTTTACCAAGCGTAAAGTCCATGGTGTTGGGGTCGCGCTTGGGAGGTTGACCATTTGGTATAGATGGGAGGGCGTGGAACTGGACGATCTCGCGGTTGTTGCAGAAACTGTAGCTCCACCATCCTGACATAAAGTATAGGCATGAGTCTTCCAGTTGTGAAAGAAGTTCCCATCCACTTGCTGTCGCACGGGTAAGCTCGCGTGCTTC